GAGATTTTGAAGAGACCTCTGATGGGGAGCTCTTGGTAGCAAGCAAATATGAACCTATTACTGGTATGGGTATAGAGAAAAGTTATGCAGGTGTACCGAACAGCTATTTGAGCATAAATATTTTCTGTTTTTCTCAGGGATTCCTATATTTAAAAGGTTCCTGCCCTGAGCCAGAAAATCCACCTTTGCCTGCTAGAAAAATATGAGGGATATGCCCTTCCCTTTCCCCTTTTCAGGAAAATCTTCCTTCACAGTCTTTATCACAGGACAGGCTTATCCAGTACTTCATTTCATTGGACTTTTCACTGATTGAAGGAAATGAATTTGTTTTGGAATTTGGGTTTGGTTTTGTTTTGTTATGTTTTGTTTTTCTGGTAGAAAAGCCAAGCTTCAAGTAGCAAGGTAACATGAAAAAATGTAACAAAGTTAGAGAATTACACTTATGTTAATCATTTAAAGATGAGTGTAAAGTAAAGGAAAGGGTAACTTAATGGGATAAAATAAGCTTAACAGAAAATTTAAATTAAAAGGAAAAGATACAAGTAAATCCAGAATAAGATACATACTTCCATACTTTTTATGTAATTACATTTATGGGAGTATGGGGAAAAGCAAAGCAGAAAGTTGCCAGGCAATCATCCGTTAGCAGCCAAATCTTCATCCAACTTTCCAATAATTCTCTATTTAGATAAGGAAAATTTATTTTAGTTTATCCAGATGATCTATCATTTCTGAGCGTGTTTAAAAATGTATGGGGTCCCAGTTCATTGTATAACAAGAAAGAAAAGCTGAAAAAAGCAAAATACAGTTAAGTACAACTGATGTGGAAAGGGACTGGAAGACTCAACAGTTTAAGAATATTTACCTGACTATATTCCAAGCTCCAGATTTGAGATCACCAGTATAACAAAATGATCTCAGTTCTTTCCAGGACACTATGGTTAACACAGGACTGGAAAAAGACATCCTCAGTTGCCATTCACAAGCCCTTTTTTTTCCTCACTACTCCATCTTCTTACTCGTTCTTTTTCTTTTCAGTGTAGCAACATAATTAGTTGAACTAAGGAGAACTACCATTTTATTTACCCCAGCAATGTGGGAGCTTCCAAGCAATAAAATGAACTATGAGTGTGTCTTGGGGGGAAGGGGAAGGAGTGAAATGTAACTTCTTTTTTAAACTTGGGATATTAGTCTTGTACACAGCTTTTTTTATAGAAACGTGGCTAATACAGATCCAACATACCAGAAGAAAATGATCATAAACCTTCATTTAGAAATGTTACCTTTTTATGTGCAGATGTTTGTATATATATGAATACTGTTGGCTATTTTATCATTACTTGTTTTATTTGTGTGTTCTTGAATGATGACTTTTTTTGAACTAACTTGCAAGCTTACTTCCCTAAGGTTGAAATCTGGAAGCTCCAATAGTCATTACAGTCACTGCTGCTGAAGTATAGTGTTTTTTTAATTAACCCAATGCTTATTCAAACATATGTTGTTTAAACTCAAGCATTTTTACAAATAATAAAAAAGTTAGGAATATTTTCTGGTTTTTACATTGAATTTCCATGTTGCTATTACTAGGAATTAATCAAATTAATCACTGTAGTCTTGTGTTACATGTGCAAGATGGGCCATCTTGAGATTTTTTTTTTTTTTTTGAGTAATCTTTGCAAGACCCTTGGCAATAGATTTCACAGAAAACTGGGGACTTCAATACTGACCTTTATACAAGACATTAATTCTCTCTGGCAAGCATTTCTCTTCTGAGAGTCTGAGGTGTTAGGTAGCTTGTACAAGATGTCTCCTTCCATACAGCCTTCTGTCATGCATATTTATAATTCGCTTGCAAAATCAAATTTATTCTGGATGAGGCGAAAAGCATCAGGGAAATGAGTAATCACTTAATCCATTTCAAGTAGATTTTTTAATTAACTTGTATTGTGCTGCATTTTAAAATGTGGTTGTGCTAACTACTGTATATGCCTTTCATAATGGATATTATGAACATAGAATAAATTTTATTTAATAACTGGTAGGTATAATAGGCACAAACATTTTTACAAAATTAAGATAATCCAATTGCTGCCCTCAGATTACAGTTTTCCAGTTGCTATTTTGATGGCTAAAGGGAAACTTTGTAGCTAATACTGTTCTCCACCATAAGATGCTTGTCCGTGTAAACAAAATTATATAAAAGATATGTGAGGAGATGATCTGGAATGGAAAGGCAGAGGCAGAAGCGTATCTCCACAGATAGAGGATAGGCAAGGTCTGTGATTACAAGCCAAGAAGGCCAAATGCGCTTGTTTCCATGCAATGGAATAAAGTGTAAAATATTCTGAGATAGACTCTACAGGAAAAATTGTTATAATAGTTACTGTAATTTGCGATTGAGCTGGGGGATGTCCATGGCCACAAGAGGTGGTTTGCTTCAGGACTGTGAATAGCCTTTTGAGAAGATGGAAGGACAATCAATTTCCTGACTCTAATTCCATTCTAGATATTAGTAGGAACCAATGTCATCCCAGCTGGAAAACTACTTCTCAGCCCACCTGATGGCAAACAAGACAGACTTTATCCTTCATACTGTCCACTGAATAGTGGCTCTAAAAAAAAAGGTGACCCCTACCCATCTTCAGTATCTTTTGCAAAAAGCTGTTACTCATTTTCTGCTGACTGTGCACAACCATAGTTCCAGGTCCAAGTGGGTGCCTACTGTCATTCCAGTCCTATCTCTAATTTTTGTTATCAATAGGCAATGTATTCAGGGACTGGAAATTTGCTATTCATCAGCATGGTAGAAATGTGTAAGGAACACAATTGCTAGCCCCGTTCTAGACATTCAGTGAATTTCTGGGAGCATCCATTGATTCAGCTAACATAACTTCTGAGGTTCACTTCATTTACACATCACCTGCTATCACCTATGTGGGAAAGGCAGCCTTGAAAGCGGTATATATCTGTGTATCAGGGGCATCATCCCTCATCTGCTTTTATCACCACCAATAATACAATTTTTCTACAGTAGTCTCATGCTTTTACTCCCTTCTTCCACAACTGACTATTTCTTCCCCTCAAGCAGCTGCCTCTTTCCCTTCTGCCTTCCCAAGAATCTTGGAGAAACAGTGTGCTGGGCTTTAATAACAAATCCTGGGATCAGGGTAGCCCAGCAACTGGCTCTCCAAATAAAGTTGTGGTAATGGGAACTATCTGGTGATGATACTTTTCACAGAAGTCTCACTCCCTTTGACATGCTGGTATGCTATCCATACAGTCTGTCTTATGTAGTCCTCAACGCTACGTGTCTTCACATTGTATAGGACCAGACTTACTGGAATAGAGCTCTTAGCTCTGAACTGAACTGAGAAATTAAGTGTAAAAGGTGTAAAAAACTTATGGATTTAAAGGAGAAGAGATAGCCTCAAGGACAAGGAAATTTATTTCTGCGGAAACACTGTCAAACATGGCATAGATCTGCAGTGAGAAGCTAAGCAGTAAGAAAAACTGGAACTCAGAGGTATAGATCAGAGGAGCATGGAGAAAGGGCATTAGTGAGGTACCACCCAAACAGGACAACTATACCTACATATGAGGCTAAGAAATAAATGGGTTGAGATAGGGAAATATTTTCTTTCTCACAGAAGAGCTAGTTAGTATTGTGAAATTAAGTGAACAGTATCTTTGGATCATAGAGAATGCCAAAATAAATAATCGAGAGCTGCTTATCTTTAATCTCATGCAAACAAATGTAAGACAGATCTCCTTTCCTTTTCTCAGGGCCTCTGACAGCAAAGATTGTCTTTGCTACCATGATATATTTTGTAGTGGATCTTAAAAAAATACATAAACAGTTATCAACAAAATGTATACTTCGTTTGGCATATTAACTTGGGTTCTGCTTATTGACCATAGGGCTGGTTCTGGATGGTTTCATGTGGATGTTCAAGAAAGGGGCATCTACAGACTAGCCGACATATGAATCTCTTAAACAGCCCTTAGTTCAGCTTAGAAAAAGGCCTTTCCCTGGAGGCCTTGTCAAACATAAGCGTTGAAGCATGACTTCTGGGATTTTCCTGGTGCTGTAGTAACTTCGTTTCTTATTTTAGGAGATCTGCACAACCACATTTCTTGGCAGGTTCCCATAGAAGTTGTAGATTTGACTTGCTGCCCCAAAAGGCTAGCTATGGACTTTTATAGACCCAGATCACCCTACCTTTTTTACCTGGATTTAACCTGGTTCTCCTTACCTGCAACCAAAGGAGGGTAAGAAAAGGTTTTCTAAAGAAATATCCCAGGAGATACAATCATATTGCTGCTGTGATATTTCCCAGTGGGAAAATTGGGTTCCTAGTCCTATTTCCTATTTATATTAAGGAGCACTGGCTCATTGGCCCAAATTACTGCCCTCAAGACACCTGAGGAATCACCTAAGAGATAGGTACGCTGCATCACACACATACGGGTTTTGTAGTACTAAATATGTGGAGTGGTTTGATCTTGGTGTTTGCCGAAGGCATGTAAGGCAATGCATTCTGTGGCCTGGGGATGACCCAGCTTGAGCCCAGCTCCTCTTTTTTACAACCATATTGCCTGTGGAGACACTTCAAGCCTCAGTTTTACCTGTGCAGGCCAGCTGGTATATACCAAAACTGAACCAGTTAAGCAATGTGGAAAATAGGTGACTTAGAGCCTGAGTTCAAGACAGAATTATTGTGAAATATTTATACAGACAGAAAATCAGAGAAGAAATGGTGGTGTGGGTAGCACTGTAGTTGTGACAAACACATTCTTTATATTCTTATATTTATGCTTTGAATTATTATGTAAATAAGCATTTTTTCATCTGTGTATTTGATTTGGTTATGTATTTGATTTGGTATGTTACCAAAGACTGCATAAACTAAAAGGCTGCCAATTATAGTTATAAAAAGTTGCTGCAGAATGAAAATTTTAGTGCTAAGGAGATTTCATAACTGTCTGTTTCCCTTCCATAGCTATTTTCTGCAGGAAAAATCACAGGCACCAGAGTAGCTGAACTGAAGGGAAAGTACACCCTGCTGCATAAGACTGTGATCAGGTATAATACTGCTTTTTTAGACTTTAAGTAGCCAAAGCATTACATATGTAAAGTAATTTTCTGCTCATGCTGAGGCTAATTATCATTTAAGGCTTTCTTAACAGTGATTGTTCATAAAGAGGAAGCAAAAACACAAGGCTGAAAACCAGTATTATTTAATAGGAACTTTCAAGGTAATTTGGGATGTTTAAATACTTGTTTGAACAACATCTTTGTTTTTAATATAAATATAATAATAATGGCAATGGAGGGAAGCACAAACTGCACAAACAATATACAAGTTTTAAATAAATATATTTGAAGATCATGTAGCCAGAATTGTAACATATGAAAAGACTCTGACCTGCCAAGCTAACATCACAGAGAGCAACTGAAGCTAAAGGCTCATTTCTAAGAAGGATAATGAGACTCTGTGACATCTAAATAGGTATGAATTTTACCCTCTGAGAATATTGACAGTCACATTAGACAGGACTGCTAATAAATTTAGAAGGTTAGAACCTTAAGCTCCAAAGTATAAATGAAACTCGGAAGTTAGGTGTAGTACTTGTGAGTCTGCCCTGCTCCGGTACTTGCTGGAGGAGAGAAGAGAAGAGATCATGCTCATAGCCCGATGCCAGGCTTGAGCAGGGATGTGTGAGTAGAAGGAAAGAGTAGTTGTACTAGGTGAACAGTGTGTCACAGAACAGAACAGTCCTATTGCAAGTATTGCAATACTACATTAGTATTTGTGACTAATAATTTTGATATTACTTACGGTATACCCATAATTATCAGTAAAATCAGCGTCATGATACTCCTGTTATATTTCTGTAATATCTTCCATAATATCCACCCTATTAACAATATTTTAGCCCAATTTCCCTGATAGTCCACATCAAATCTTTATGGCAATTCTGCTTACAAGAGAACTATGGCTATTCTGTCATTGAAACTAAAGGCTAATTTAAGGATTCTAAAACTAATTCAAGTCATACCTGCTTATGCTGGGATTTGGTGTGCCTCCTGGCAATCTGAATAGCGACAAGTGCTAAGTAATGTAAAGTAATTTGAAAAAGGGCTCCCAAAATCCTGAAAACACAGTTTTTCTTGAGGTTAGCTGAGTCTTCTAGTTTCATCTTAATAAAATGGGGAGTTAGAAAATGGCTCTGACTGTAAAAAGTCATCTGACTTTATTCAGATTACTGCATAGCAAGTATTTTTGGGAAGCAAAATTAAAAACATCACTCCTAAAACAGTTCAACTCCCTAGAAAATACAAGAAGCATTTTCTTAATGCTCAGAACTAAACATATTATGTGGGTTTTGGATTAGTTGATTGAGAAGGTTTCTACCACACTGGTGTTCACTGAGCTGAAGTAGAAATCCAGTAGCTGCTGAACTCAATTGACTTTTAGCCAGTGTTAGTTTGAAACCAGTCTTTGGTTGGAAAAAATACAAGCATATTACTACATATTTTATTCTATGTATTTATATAGTATTCTTTTATGTAGAACATTCTTTTATGTAAAGACAATTCCTTTGTATGTATGACAAGTGGAGTATGGCCTGAGTGAAAACAGGACTCAGCTGTCTTTTCTGTCACACATAAAACTCCCATAAACACTGTGCACCAAAAGTGTGAAAATGTTAGATGGAAGATTACATCTCTCATTCTTTCCATGTGTCGTGGTTTAACCCCAGCCAGCAACTAAGCACCATGCAGCTGCTCACTCACTCCCCCCACATCCAGTGGGATGGGGGAGAAGATCAGGAGAAGAAGTAAAACTCCTGGGTTGAGATAAGAACGGTTTAATAGAACAGAAAAGAAGAAACTAATAATGATAATGATAACACTAATAAAATGCCAACAGTAGTAATAAAAGGATTGGAATGTACAAATGATGCGCAGGGCAATTGCTCACCACCCACCGACCAACACCCAGACAGTCCCCGAGCAGCGATTCCCTGCCCCCCCCTTCCCAGTTCCTAAACTAGATGGGACATCACATGGTATGGAATACACTGTTGGCCATTTGGGTCAGGTGCCCTGGCTGGGCATGAGAAGCTGAAAAATCCTTGACTATAGTCTAAACACTACTGAGCAACAGCTGAAAACATCAGTGTTATCAACATTCTTCACATACTGAACTCAAAACATAGCACTGTACCAGCTACTAGGAAGACAGTTAACTCTATCCCAGCTGAAACCAGGACACCATGGTTCTCACAGAAGTATGAAATTGCCATACTTCTGTAAGAAAGCTGATTGGAGAAAATTGTGTCACATTCTTTACTTAGATGTAGTCATGTCTCAAAGCAAAACGCCAATGCATGAATGAGTACTAATTCGCACAGATAAATTTCTCTTACTGCTAAAAGAAAGCAAGGGAAATCAATTACCAAAAATTGATCATGATCTCCAGTATATTTTAAGGACTTTTCAGACATCAAAAGTGGGATTCTTTTGTCCGTATGTTAACATCAGTAGACATGCAAATCTGACCTAGGTATCTAGACTCCCTTAACGATCAATAGAAAGAAATAGGGACCACACACTTTCTCCTTACATAGACATCTGCAGGTGTCTGGTTTTCTCCATTGGCTGTAAAGAGAGTCCTGATGATTAGTTCAGTATCACCCTTTTCCTGCCATGAACCATTCATAGAATCAAAACCACTTTTTAATTTTTAGTTCTTCACCCTTACATGTGCAGTACAGTTCCGTGGATCAAGAGCTTACCTTTTCACTTATTACAGCTGAATTTAATCTCTTTCCCAATTAATCCCCATCTATTCCAGTGCTGTTACAATGCCACATGGAAACAAATTATGCTGGATGAGGTCTTCAAGCTGTGTGTGTTCTACTTTCCTTTAGTCGCGTACAAAAATCTCAAGGGAAAGTCTTATGCATCTTAAGCAGCGTAGATCCCCGTGACACCTATGCCAAATGATTGCATCTGATCTGTCTGATATACAACACAAATTTGTCTAATATGATGAATGCAACTACTCTGTATGCAGATAATTTCCTACGCTGTTGCTAGAGTACACAGAGTTTTAAGTGTACAGTGTGATCCTTTGTTTAGTGGCAAACACTCCTTTATTTTCTGGTTTCAGTTCTGCACAATTTAGCATTCTGAAAAGCTGAGAGATGTCACCTGGCAGAGAACATCTTTTATACATTTCTTCAAAGTGTTACGTGCTTTTGAATTTATGTTTGCTGCACCGCTGAAATTCTGGGAACAGGCTGTCATCCCATTCTGGTGCTGTCTCACCCATCCATTTTGCATTGAGGCTGCACCTAAAGCTGATGTACCTGAGCCCATATTTGGCCCCTGAAAACCCATTTAGTCACAAAATCATGTGGCCCAATTGTAAACTCTTATTTTTACTATCTCAATTTAGGAACCTAATATGAATATTCTGATACACCAAGCTGTAAGAAAGTCAGGTAATAATGATAGTTCATTGACAGTTTGGAAATCTTATCTTCTTAAGCCTCTGTTAAATTATTAATCACTTTACAAATGCAGAAGCTGCCACATCAGACTTGGCAAGCTTACTTTTGCACTCATGTGATTCTAGAGGTGTACATTTTGTAGATGTCCAGTTATTTCTTCATTGTCTTCACTTAAATTTGAAATCTTCACATGAAAAAATACTGTTGGCAACTATAGTGAGCAAGATCTGGTCTAGATTCAACACTCAGGTCTTGTTTCTATTTTTATTTTTTTATTATCTTGAAAAAAACAGAACTTATGTGTTTATGTAATTTTATGTAAAATTTATGTTTTATGTAAGAATTATGTTTGAAATGAATGTGTATTACTGCAACCAATTATATTTTCTCCTAAAACAGCATACATTCTGTTGGACTTAAAGAAAATCTAAATATTGTACAGGATCTTGTGTCAATAAGTCAATTTATTTTTCCCTTAAAAAGTTACTATGTAAATACATCACACATGAAGTTATTTTTTCGTGATAAAGGCACACTCTTGTTTCCTGTTGAAGTCTGTGGTTTTCTTATTTTCTGGTTTAAAAAAGGAAGTGGTTATCTAAGTAGAAATGTTACACAAAACAAAACTTCTTCTGCTGTATTATTTCAGCTATGTTTGTGCAGTATAGTCAGTTGTATATTTTGTGTTTTTATAGTTACCATCTCAACTCTATTCTTCAGCACGATACGTAATTTTGTTTTTGTTGCTAAGCCATAAATGTCATCTTTTAGAGTTCCTCAATATGGGAGATTCTAAATTCCTTTGTTTTAAGAAATATTAAATTGCGTTATATTTTTAATTAATAAAAGGCAAGTGATAGAGTTCTTTATGCTTTCACATCATTTGTGGCTAAGTCAGATCAGATAATTGATCATGTCTAGAAGCCTTATAATAAGCTTCCATGGAAGTCCACAAATGTATTATTTGCTGCTTGTGTATCATTAAATTAGTTACTTCAGATACTGGTAACACTACAGCAATAGCAACATGCAATTCAGCACTGAGTAGGTGTCCCAGTATTTACTAAGAACTTAAAGGTGTCACATAGCCCAGACCGGGCCTTGTCCTGGGGAATACCTCCCTGTTATTGGTCCCCACGCTGATTCAGATCTAGCCTTCAGCACTTCTTAGGATAAAACAGATTCCCCGTCTCTTTATTGGTTCTAGGAGGTGCTAGACAAATAAATTAGACTAACTAACCATCCTTCATCTGGTTAAAATTAGATGAGATGAATCCCACTCCAACTCTAGGTATGCAGAAAAGCCCTCTCACATAAGATTTCATTGCTCTCATGGCATCATAGGATAATTCAGGTTTGAACAGACCTCAGGAGGTCTCTGGTCCAACCTCCTGTTCAAGGCAGGGTCAACTAGGAGGTCAGACCCGATTATTCAGGATTTAATCCCATCACATCTTGAAAACCTTGAATTAAATATTATAGGTAGGTAATATACATACAAAGCTTATGCTTCTCATTGCCTAGTTCTAAATTTTTCTATTTAATGTAGTTTACAGGAATCTGAGATCCAGCTGTTGCAGGAAGCCAAACGTCTTAGTGTAGAACTGGACCAACAACAACATGAACTGGAAAAAGCAGAACAGTTCCCTGAAGAATCCTCCAGTGAAGTTTCCCGAATAAGGCAACAACTTCTTAGTTGCCAGAATGAATACAATGCTATTAAAGAAAGAGAGTATGAAATTCAGTTCAAGATGGAATGGTAGGTGATAGTGGTCAAACACTGCTAATTTTATCATAGCCTATCTAGAAAGATAATAACATAGAATATAATTCAATCTCCTCTCCATCTTACATGAGGACATTTCTTGATGGCTGTTGTTAAACAAATTGTCACAAACTTTCCCTAGTAACAGCAACATTTCAGTGATGAATAAAATTACTCCGGTGTGAGATGTGTAGATAATTTTAATTTTAGAACATGCTATGGTGTCCTTTGAAATGCTGTTTAAGATTTACTACATTGCATGATTAATGTTTAGGTAGGCAAAATTAACAGGAACAATTCTAGTCTAGGATACCTTTAATACAAATTATTAAAGTGTCTCAGAGACCTGGTGACTGGGATTTTATGGAAACAATGTCATAAGTAGACACAATGCTATTTTTAACATCAGAAGTACAGTGTATTCAAGTTTTTCTAGTCAGGTATTTAAAGGAGGAGAAGTACTTGTATATTCTCATGTCGGAAAAATGAGATACTTGCTGTGAAAGGAGTGAATACTTGACATTTCTATAAAGGAAAAAAGTCCAGAATAAGCTTGGTGTTGTATATATTTTAATTATCTGCATAAATGAGTGTGTTGTACGTGAAGCTCTTATAGCAAAATTACAAGCAGCATTATTGCATTTTTAAAAATATGTAGCTATGGATATGAACTCATATTTTCATTTTGTGGGGAGCTTGCTATTTTAACCCATCTTCAATACAGCTGTAGTGTAGTTGGTATATATAAATGCAAAAACCAATGTCAGCAGCTTAGCAGTTAAAACTGTTTTTCTGCAAGGAGAGCAGGGGCACTGTACAAACTGCACAGAGCAGATTTTCTGGCAGCTCTTTCTTGATTATTATTTTTTTTTAGAGCCAAGTGTTTGCTCTAAGAGAGAAAGAAACTTGAGAAAGAAGCAAATTGGGAGTGGGAGAAATACAGAAACATGGAAAGCATCTGGAAAAAATTATTTGCTATGAGATAACTAAGCAACATGAAGTTTCCTGAAATAATTATTAAATACAGAATTTATTGCAATTTCCAAGCAGTCCAGAAATGAGCTCTTCAAAATATCATGGTTTTTACTCATTTGTCCTCATATCTTATGAACATTTTTCACTGGTTTTGCATCCTTTTTCCAAAAAATGATGGGGTGTTATATATTTAGGGGATATTTACTCATACTCTATTTTCTACCTCTAGTCAAAAGGAGATTTCTGTCCTACACAAAACGCAGTTTAGCTATTGTTTCAATTACCCTTGCACATTTACTGCATTAATTTTTATATATGAATTGAATATCCTATCTTGCAGATTAAAAATACACTTTTTGGGTTGTTCATACTGTGAAAAATATTCTTTCACTTCAATAAGAAACTTCCTCTGTTTGATCTTACATATTGCATGAGATCAAAACCAGCTGTACCGTCTGAGCAGAGGTCCAGTATATAATGGTGACCAAAAGCGTAGCCCCCAGCCATTTGTGAGAAAAGGATTTCATGAGCCAAATACAGTCCTCTGTATTTAGGAATCCTCAGTTGACCCCTCTTCCTTGAACTTCTCCTGTCTCCTCCTCAACTATATAAACTTCTAGCATTGCAACACCCTGGGCAATGAGTTCAACAGATTAACTACACAAGAACTGCCACCTCCTTGCTTTCGTGAACCTGACTCCTACCAGCTTCATTTCATGCCCTGTAGTTCTTGTATTGGATGAGACGAGACAGTGAAAATCTTTTCCTCTCTTCATTTTCACTGCTGCAGGATGGTTTGATAGATCTCTTTTGTATCCCCCCTCTTAATTTGCCAACTTTCTAAACGGAAGATTATTTAATTGTTCCTTGTTTGGAATCTGTTTCATGCCTGGTGGTAACATTGGCTCTTAATATGTGTTGTGGCTGTGGAGTGAGGAGGATGTGCCTCGGTTATGTGTGGATTTGTTTATTGGGAGAGAAGATACTGCTTTCCAGAAATGATAGGGATTTTAATGTTGGAGTAGTGTAAAATGAACAGGACTGGCAGAATACATATCTACGTGGGGAACAGATGAGTGAATGTAGTGGGGAAATGAGAAATGAGCTATGAAGAAAAACAGATAATGGATGTGAATACATGTTTGTAAAGAAGGCATGGGTTCGGTGCCTGTGAAAGACAGTGAAAACGAATGTCCTGAATAGAGTTGTGAGTAGCAGGTGGTCTAGTAGTAACACTGATGTAAAATGTTCTATATGCCTGATGGATTTATAGAAATAATAAAGCAATGTCTTTTGAAATATCTGTGTGCATGGGCGGTGTCACAGACAGAGGGGAAGCCACTTCAAAGATATTATAAGTTTGCCGTTAGTTGACTGCTTGGTTTCCTTCATTTCTCAGAAGGATAGAAACTCATGGTCCAACCTCTCTTGGCCCTTGATCTCTCTGGAGCACAGTTTCCCTTGTTGTCCGACTGTGTTAACACAGTCCCAGCTGTGCTTGGCACTTACAAGTAAACTTCTCTTTGGGAATTATGACTAACGGCTGTTTCGTCTGAAAACAAACATATGGCTTATTTACCTTCTTCTGTATAGCAGGCGGGGGACATGGAAGGGAAAACCTTTTGAAGGGAATATCTGTGTCTCTTATCTATTGCTTTTTCCATTTCTTAGAAGTCTTGGATCTTGTCTACTCAGAAATACTGCTGAGCTGGAAGTGAGAGAGAGCCTCTGCAGATCTGCTGCTTCCCTCTTTCTGTAAGCCTCTCTTTCTCTGAGCCATCTCTCTAGTCTCTGCTGCCTTTGCTTCCTGCCTCAGTTCACTTTCTCTAATAGCTAAGGCAACTTAGCACCCTTTTGGCGCTCAGATTCAACTCTGAAAACAGTAAACTTTTTCTCTTGAAGAGTCATGTAGATATACCATAACATTAGCAAAGGTTTTTTTTGTCTCAAGGTCCCTTAGTATTCTATGTTCTCTTTTCCAAATTTCATTTCCTATTTACTTGCCTCTGTAAACAGTTTTTTTTCCAGATCAGACACCTTTTTCAACAGCTGAAGGTGATAGTTCATCTTCTGGTTTAATTCTTTATTGTTCCAACAAGCAGGCAACATTCCAAGAGTAAATATAAGTTGCTTTCAGCAATGTAGTATCACCAGGTTTTCAGAAATCTTGTGACTTTTTTCATCGCTTGAGTAGGTACACAAGGTGTTCAGAAGCAGCTCTGCTGCGCTTCAGCTGTCAGGGAAGTCAGCCTGCGGGTGACGGCATGGGTGTGGTGTACTCCCACTGCAAGCGTGTGCCTCTTCTTCCAGTTTGTGTTCCTGTTCTGCTCTACCGTTGTACTGGATTCGTTGCTAGTGTGTCTGCCCCAGCGCTCAGCACAGTGGGGGAGCAACAGCTGGAAGGATTTTACTGAGGCTATAAAGTTTGGGCCACTACCCCAAAGTCAGAGCTGACTCCAGGAGTATTCTTCCTTTCAAAAACTATTAGGCAAATCTAATAAAGTAAAAGGAAAAATAGTGATCCCAGTTCAGTCCTGGAACAATTGCATTCAAAGCCATGAAGTTTCTTCATATAACTGGGACTGAACAAGCCTCAGTAAATTAAGAATATGGACTGAAAAATCAGATTAGCACAAGAACAAGGAAAGAATCAATGTGATCAGCAAGGATTTGTTCTAGCTTGAGGAAACTTTTGATTTTAATGTCCACGTGAGGCTTAGAGTCCTAGTTTGTAAGACAAAATAAAGAAGAGCTGCTTTTCTTTGATAGGTAATAGTATCAACAATCATTTATTATTGAGAAATAATAAATATATAATTGAAATTAATTTATCATCTGAACCATATTTTTAAAAGCAAGCAATTATTTTGTAATGAAATTATCTATAACAAAAGTTTGTGAGGTTAAAGGTGACTGATTCTTGAAAACAATTTTATTTTAAAGCCTAGGACCAATCTACAGCACTCACAGTCATTTGTGCAGGTAACAAAATGGCTATTCACCGAAGTGCTATGTGCTATTGCATGCAAATCAGGATTGCAAAACTGAGTTTGTCCTTGTAGAAGCATTGCAAATACGGAAAATTATTTCAATGCTTGTAATTATTTCAGGATTAGTCACTCCATAATTAAAAAGTAAAAAGTTAAGCTTTTGTCCATAGTTTTTCTAGTAAAGAATTACAAGCCATAAGTAAAATAAAGTGAGTTACAGTTGAGGCTGTTATCAACTGGTCTTGTGACTGCATTCTCCAGTACGTATAAACTAATTACAGCTAAGAGCCTTACAGGAATCTCATGCTGGCAACTTGTCAGCTGTGATATCTTCTACTTGTGGTCACTAGATTTTAGTTGTGAGGTGCTGAGCACCTTCTGTGGGTTCCTCAGCAATCGCAGCTATGTGTCAGAGTAGCTGAAGGAGTCTGCTTTCTTGCAGGATGAGATTTGTAATGATAACAATGTTCTGGCTATTTTGTGAGCTGAGGAGCTGAAATGGACCTCTGTTGACAACTACCACTACATTTCTTAATCTCTCTGACTTAATTTTTTTATTTCTGTGTCAGTTTGCAGCTGTAGACATCTCTCAGGGAAAAGTCTGGAATGTATTTTCATTAATGGTCCAATTTTCCGAGTGCTTTTTTTTAACTCATTATATCTGCATCCACGGTAGCTTTTCATGTACAGTACTGCTATTAAGCTTTATGAAAATAAGTAAAGCAATGTGAGAAACATTTGCAAACATTAATGCTTAAACTTAAGAGTTTCATCTTCTTTTCATTACGTATGTTGTTACAGGTATAATAATGGTAATAATAAAAACCACATGATATTGAAAAAAGAAGGGCTATAAAACAATGGGAATTACGCCATTATGGCAACAGAGAGAAATACGTTCTTTTCAGCTGGTAATTTGTCTCATCCTAAAATAGGCGACCTGGGATGTCAGATGACCTGCCTGCCCATTGGAGGTTCCCGTTTTTACCCCTGACAGTAAGGAAGCCTGGGGATGTTAGCGTAGGGGTACCTGTCTAACTTTTGGATATGGGCAGCTGGACCAAACTCATTTCTCAAAAGGGAGAGATTTAACTTCTTTCTTTTACCGCCTTTTGCTTTTCTCACCTTCACTGTTTTTTGTGTGAAAGTAGTTGGTCTGCCAGCTCTTAAGGTAACTTGGTGCTTGCTGTTCAGTGTTGCTTTTTGTTTGTGTCAGAGAAAATGAGGCGTTCAAATCGTTTTACTTTTGCTGGATGGAAAAGTCTTTGTTGTGAAACTGGAACGGCTCCCCAGGAATCTGTCCTCATGAGTGAGGAATGTGACAAAAGAAAAGTAGTGTCAACTTTGCTCTCCGTCCTAATTTTGGGACTGCTCTTTTGATTGTCTGGCATGATATTGTAGAGAACACAGCACAGACTGATGGCAAGCAATGCAGTACCTCTTTAATCAGTTCGCACAGGACTTACTTAATCAGTTTTTGTGGCAGTCAGAGTTACAGGTATTTGTGCAAAGTGGACATTCATTATAATTAGTGTGATTATGCCAGTCCCAAGGAGTTCAACTAGGAATCCTGCCAAAATGTGTTGGGAATATTAACTGTCCTTATTAACGTATTTATACATTTAGACAACCTGTTGCTAAGTGCAAACATTGTGTTTGACCTGTGTGGCATTCCAGCACAGTTGTGGCTTATGGGCACAGTACAGAGGGGCAGACTAAAGCTACTGTCACAGAATTGAAGTAGCTCAGTTTTTAATGCATTTTGATCCCTGTGCTCTCCCTCATTGACTTTAAACAGTGGAATATAAAAGGAGTAGTTCCTGAGCCCCGCTGCAGCAAAGAAGAAATCACCTTATGGTGTTTCCTTCTACTTGCATGTACTTGCACTGTACACCTGCAAAATACTCCTGTGTCTTTCTTCACTCTTCTGTGCAATTTCTCAAGTTATAATAGATTTTGCAATAGAACTTTTTTTTGTAATTAATTTTATCAATTTTGGGGGAAGACTGATCTAAATTCAACTTCTTTTTCTTTGAAAGATTTTTTTTGCAAACTCATTCACTCTCTGGGTGTTCAAACACTGGCATTCAAATTAGTTTTTAGATTACCAGTCCCTGTAGAGGCATACTTGGACTCTGCCCATACAAGTATACATACATGCTGTAAATCAACAACATCTACTCTGTGTCTTTATTTTCTCTTTGCTCTTCATCTGAGCTAGAGCTTGTCCTTCGTGATTATTTTTTTTTCTGGATTGCAACACCACCAACCCTGTTCTCTTTTTTGACTGTTTCCTTTCCTTGACTAGAAAGATGTCACCTGAGGCTTCCAGGTATAACACATTGCTCTTGTGGTTGGAAGACCAAAATATAAGAAACCATTTATTGAGGGGGAAGGAAACCTTAAATCAGCACTGATAAAGAATTGAGCACAAGATCCTAGGGACAATCCTCCACGAGGCTGGCTGCTGGGAAACTGATCTCTCTCCCCATGACCACCACCTTCTGAAACCTGAACCACCACCATGCAAAATCTTAGGCTGCCACAGAAAGTTTTCAGAGAAAAAAAAGAATACCAATCAGCTGCCTCTCTTCTGTATCAACCGCTTTCAGAGGCAACTGTAATAGCTGCTTTGCATCAGTGGGGCTGCCCCAGGATTCCCTTGCCATAGTTAATAGCTCCAAGTGACACAGCTGTTTCATGAAAGCCTGTCCCCTTTTCTTAATACTTCCCTTATTTAAAGAGTTATTTATTCTCACAGACTGCCGTGAGTTTCAAGGAGGCCTGACGAGCACATCCTCCAGCTTGAGTTACAAACAAATTTAAGTGCTGAACTTGATTCTTTGCTATATCTGAGACAGAGGATTTGGTCCTTCCACCTATTCCCCAGCTGCAATCTTTACTCCTTTATAGCCTGAGACTCAGAAATGTCATCATATGTAGAAATTGCATTGCAGGAACCTGCCTCCTTTTTCCAAATCAACAGCACAAGGACTTAATTAAGTTCAGTTTGGTCATGATGGCATGCAGACTGCTATAGCCCACTTATTTCCTGTAGGTACAGAATTGTTTTGTGCATGCACTGGGGATGTATTGATGTCTTTCTTCACTAGGGCTAATTTTTTGTATTTGGCAGTATTCACCTACCTGCCACCAGGAAGCTCCCTATTGTAAGTCCAACAAGCTCGTTGGTTCAGCTCCACTTTTGCAGTCACTCCTTCGTCTTTCTCAGGGCAGCATTACTGAAAATACACCCAGACAATCTAAGACCTTTCCTATTTTTTCCTTTCCTCATTCTTCCCTCCTTCAGCATCTGTCTCTATTGTTGCCTGAAATTAAATTGCAACATAGTTTTGGATATAGGTTAAGATCACCATGGCTATTCAATTTAGTTTTCTACTGTACCCCATCGACTTAGTCTACAACCTCTTTTCAGAATTTTTTTTCACAGGTCCCTGTTCAGATTTGAGGAGCTTCACTTACAGTTGTTCACAGTGTGAATGTGTGCATGAGCAATCACTCAAAGGAAGAAGAAAGGTTCTCATTAGCAACTGCACTTTCTTGGATGTGTGATGTCTTTGTGGATATTTATAATCCACCTTCTCTTTCTTTTTGCCTCAGTTCCATGTTAAAATTTTGTTTTCTGAGGTTGGGAGGAACTGTGGGTATAGGCTGCCATCTGACTTGTTATGCTCTGCTAGTATAAAGGCAAGGGTGAATGAGGCATAAATGCATCCCTGCAGGAGGTGGTAAGACTAAGAAGAATCAGATTCAAAAGTTTACATGTGTGCACTGTAGAAAAAGCCTGCATATGTACAACCTGTCTTTCAGGACTTCCAGTTACCAGTCAGCAACCTTCCTTTAAATCTGGACACCTTTCAATTGTCCCTGATGATAATTCACTATACATTTTAGTCTAACACAAGATAGGCTTCCATACTTTTTTACCATTTACTATATTATAGTAATATATTACTAATATATTTAGCTCTATTTTGATTTTCTTGTAGTTTGCAAGAAGAAAAAAGGCTTCTGGAAAATGAATATGAAAGAATTCCAAAACAAAGGGTAAGTACAAAACATGAGAAAAGCCATGTTTTATGTTCTGTCAGCTAACATATGTAAACATCAATGAAATTTTTTTCATGGTGTGTAACTCTACAGTTTATTTAAAATCTGGAATACATAGAAAAATCAAGAGGTAGATTTTATAGGAGAGGGTATATTATATCATTCAGGTTTGATAACTCTAGGGCAAGCAGTGAATAATTGATTCAGAAAAGATCTGGATTTTCTTAAGTTTACTCAAGAAAATTTTTTACTGTATTCAGCAAATGGATACTGCATGTAGAGATAGCTGCAGGTTTTTTGTTCTAGGATGTGAGTATGGAAAATACATTTTCAGTCATAAGTCCTGATGAATATATGTGTTTTTTTCAGAAATAAAATTCTGCTGATTATTGATAGAAGAAACATACACATGGCAAAAATTTGTATTTCCTACCTTGTTGTAATGAATGTTATCATCATTCAATGTTAATGATTCTGTAATATCACAAGCCTGCAAAATGTAAAAGGAAAAATAAAATTAATCTGCTCTTTTACTTCATTTTTAAAGGAAGCAGATAAGAAAATTAAACAGCTGAAAGAAAATTGTGATGAGCTCTGCAAAGAAGTAATCCAAAGAAAAGCAGAAATTAATACAATAAAGGAAGATGTTTTATCCAAGCAAAAGCTGATGTTAACAGATAAGAAAGAAATGGAAAAGCTTCTGGAGAAGCAGGCTAATTTGAAAGTAACACAAAATTAATTGTGTGTATGTATATCTGCGTATGTGTGTGCATGTATGTGTATATGAGTACATGCTTTGTCCAAGGAAATGGTGAAATTTCTGGGTGTTGTTTGTCATTCCAAATTCATGAGATGGCATTACATTATATATTACATAATTTTTCAATAGGTGTAAAACATGCTGTTTTGCCATATCTGTTATTAATCCTTTAGAAAATAATAATAGTCATGGTTCTGATTAAAAAAATCATTTCTATAATGACATGTTTGCTATGTTGTGCTATTGTAGGCTGCTCTAACATATACTCAGATCCAAGTTAATACAGATTTATGCTGAGAATTAAAAAACATACACAGGTCTTTGCTGCTTTCCTTTCCATGGTATAGATAACATAATCAGATGTATTAATAATATCCAAGTGTAATTTTTATCTTGCAGACATAATGAAATCATAAATATCAATGTTCAGTTTCAAAAGTAGCAGCTACAATTCTCTGGGACAAGCTCAAGTAATGTGAAAATATGTTTCCTGCCCATTTTCACAGCAGTTCTAGATGAATATTACTTCTATGAAATCTCATCAGAATCTGAGGCTATTAATCTAACCTTTGTGTTTTGTCACTAGGATGAGCTAGTTAAGACCCTTGGTGTTCCAGCACAACTTGGAAAAGAAACTGAGAAGATGAATCAGAAAAAAATGTATGCTTTTAATAAATAATTATATATACATAAATATGTATGTATGACTTCTTTTCATCCATTTGTTACAGAGATGATTGAGTATAGTTGTTGATTAAAATTAGGGTCACCATTTAAAAAAGCATCTGTAATGCACTTAAAATCTATGCACTGTACTGAAAAATATAGTATATGCAGTGAAACATTGTAAATTTTAGTACAACAAAGAAAAATTTACAACAAAGCTTGGTCAAAAATTGCTTAACCATCTTACTGTGCTGCATTACTATATATCAGATCTACTTAGATTTTTTAATGGAAAATAATGTTACCATGTAATCCAGTGATTAGGCTTTTTTACAGTTTCTAGTTCTCAGTGACTGTATAGTAGCTTATCTCTATTGGCCTCAGTTAAACTAGCAACTTTCACAGTGAACAGTCTGGCCTGAACTAAATAATCATTCTCTCTTGATATTTCTGTACCAGTTTTTTAGTCAGAAGTGCTTTGCTGTAAGCTCCTGATGTGAATTCTGGTCTCTAATATTTCAATGGAAAATGTAAGCCAGTAGCCAGCTTTTTCTTTCTCTCTTTCATGTAGTTGGGTTTTTTCTTCCCTGAAGCATGACATGTGCTGCTTTCTGTACACGTAAAACCTAATTAGCACTGTGCAGTTTCAGCCAGGTTGCTCACAGATCCCAGCAGTCCAATTGCCATCCAGATAAATGATGGTTTTTGTACCCTGTTTGGGCACAGGGTTACACTGAAGTTTTTGTGTCTCCTGCTTGCTGTCCCTCTTTGTAACGTAGAAATTGTTAGACTACGTTATATTTCTCAGTTTTAAAATTTGTATAATGGTTTTCTTCTACATTTTCCTTACTATTCTGCTTAATGCAACTCTGCCATCATAAATATAAAAAGTTTTTCCTATAGTGTTACAGAGAAGCAATTTTTAAAAACTAGTACATTGTGTAGATTGCTATTAATGAAGTATGTAAATGAGTCTTTATACTTGTGTCACATCACAGAATGAACTAACCAGAGTTCCTAGTCTTGGGAATAATATTTAGAAGTGTCACACCCGTGTACCTAGTAATCTTGACAGAAATCAGTTTACTATAACTCTTTTTAATACTGTCATTGTGCTAAACTCCCTGTTAGTCCTATGGCTACCTGCAATTTTATTGTTGAAAACTGGCAACTTACATTTTGCCATTTAAATATGCATGTGGAAATGTTAACCCTTACTGTTTTGTTAAAATATATCCACAGCGATGCAGAGAAGAAGAAAGAAGCCCTTAATGACCAAATAGAAGAGTTGAATGGTACCCTGAAAGCGATTGAAAAAAGGACTGAAGAGATTTTGCAAGAAAGAGAAAACGTAATGAAGGAGTTGGATGGGAAACAAATTTTGCTAGAAAGCAAAGAACGAGAATACATTACTTTGACAAAATTGCTAGAAATTAGCAGAGAGAAGGAATCAGCGGTCCTATCAGACAGGTTGGAGTAGTAGACATAAGCCATGTAGTATGAGTGAACAATCCTCTGTTCTCAAAGATCTATTTCTTTTTTCTGCTGTATTGCTTATGTTTTCAAGTTGTATGCTGCAACCAGTGCAGACTAGAAATTATCATCAGGCTTCTTTTTGGCTTCAGAAATGCTTATATAAACTACTGGAATCTGGGATCCGGCTTGAAGAAGAACATCAAAAAGCATAAGCATTTGATAAAATCCTGGGAGAATGAAACTGGATTTTGCTCTGCATGGGAAGTCTTTTAGAGGTTTTCTCTCTCCAGTGAAAATATATTTTTTTTCTGTGTAACCCACAGAAAGTAAATTGAACAAGAAAAAAATATGTCAGTATTTTCATTTTCACGAGGGTCATAGATTTCTGCGCTCATGTACTCCTGAATTTCAGTGGGGACTGGTTACTCATCTCTCTAATATTCTGTTGAATTATGAGCTTATATATACTTGGTAAAGTAAAACAAACTGTTAGGTTAGTTGCAAGCTTCAAATGATTCCTTCTTTGCAGAGGAAGGTGTATGATTGTATCATGGCCATACATTCAGCAGCAATGCTTTTGCCTTTAAAGTTTTGTATTAGAGGATAGTGGCATTTTAAATTGAAATGTTTCAGTGAAGCAAAGATGTAAATATTCCCTCATACTAAAAAATTTGTTTTCTTCTTCTTATAAGTAATAGTTTCTCTGGAATTTTTAGCATATTTAGAACAGACTGTGAGACCTCATTGACATCATTAGGAATATTATAATTGATTAAAGTTATAAAAATGCTACCTTTTTAGGTCAGTAGTTCTCGAGTTTCTCTTGCTGCTCAGCCATAATAATGCAGTACTCAAAACCCATTAAAATGATCATGCCCATTTGCATACATGTCTTGGTCAAGTTACATGTTTCTAAAATTCCGTGTCTATACAGAGCAGCTCTGGAAGAGAATTTAAAAAAATGTGTCTTGGAGAAAAAAAAGCAACATGATATTCTCATTCACAAGCAAACACAGAAAGAGAGAGAACTGAGAAATTTTAAAAAGATGGAGTTACAACTGAATATGATTTATGATTCTTTGGAACAAGATAAGTCACAGCATAAAAGACTCAAATCAGAGGTCTGTATGAATGCATTGATCATAAGGATTCTACATTTTCTTGTAAGAAATCTGCCTATGAAATCTTTTCACTGGTCCTAAAAGGGGGAAGGGTAGAAGACTGTTTTAAGTCTTATGCACATAAAAGTGTCAAGAGTGTTGCTATAACTAACAAAGAAACCTCTAGGTGCTCTGGCTGTAATAAAAATACTGCATCAAGATATATTTGGACTATTCTTAAGAATAGGATTTTAGGTGGGAGCTTCATATCAAGGAGAACTGGGAGATTATATTGGCCCTGTGGTGTCATGTCTTCCTTTAAAGCACTATGGAATTGTGGTCATTTATGAATGAAATCATATAGTGACTTGCCCATTGGCCTCAAAGAAATTTGTATCAGAAAAATAGAGCCAAGTACTCCCTAGTTCCCAAATGATGAAAAGATACATCTTTTTAAAATTTGAAGGTTGTTTGTACATTACTGTAAATAATTTAGAATGTATTTAACATTATTCCAGGGGACAGGAAACTAGCACTATATAAAGTTTCGTAGTAAATAATATGAAATAATTCCCTATGTTCTCTTTGTTTCCACCAAAATTTCACCTTCCTCATTTCCTCCCTGCATTAGTATTTCACCCATTCCTCTTCCCATACTGATTTACTCTTTTCTTTTTTATTTGTGCCTTCTACTATGCTGATTTTAAAGGGCAGTCTCATTCTGTTTGCCTATTCAAAGCATTTCCTTTCTTTTCTCCTTCCAGTTCTTTCTAAAAATTTACTTTGTCTATAAATTTTTCATATTATCTTCCTCTCATCACTGGTTCTTCCATTATCTCTTTCCTAAGCTTTTCTCCTTTACTAGCTCCTTGCTTAGTCTAAATTGTAAGATAGTCTTATAAAATTAATTTTGCTTCCCCAGGTGAATATTTTCTCACAGTACTTGTTGTTTTGTATCTTGACACGGTGTCCTTGAAATTTTTCTTGGTCCTTCTAAGCAATTCAGGGCAGAAAAAAGTCTTACTTACATCACTGTAAATTTTTTTTAAAAAACTATATGCTATCAAAACTCATACATACTTAGCTTTGCTATTGAAACAACTCTAAACATTACTCAATAATATTTAATATTATTAAATAATACAATTTTTTTCCTATCTCCCTTGAAATTCCTCCTGGGTTCACATGTGTATTAATTACCTAGTAATATAAGCCCAACTGGGAGGAGGGAGGAAAGGTCTATAACTACACAAAAAAAGTTTTAGATTGAATTTCCTGAAGTACTGATTAAAGGGCTGATGCATATTCCAGACTTTGTTCTTAAAGCTCATACTGAGTTTCTGTTCAGTATCAGCTAAGAGAATTTGGGAAATGGTATTTTTTCCTGTGTTCCTATTGAAGAAATATTCCTGGAGGGAGAACCACAATTGTTCAAAAACATGTAATGCTAAAATCAAATGCCATATCTCACTGATGGCTGTGGTTAGAGTTCACAGTCCTGGGTAAGATCCAAACCCAACCCAACCCAACCCATTCACACTGTAAAAGGACAACACCTGTAATGAGACCCTTAATGGTTAAGTTGCATTGCAGAGGATTCCCTCAGTGCTAACGCTATGTTATCCTATAGGCTTGTATGGGTCTTGCAAGTAGCATCATCATGAGGAGTGAGGGGAAGAGAATACCGATAGAGATAGAAGTGGGATTCTAAGCAGTATTTTACTCCAGAAGCTGCAGGATGCTACCCTAACACAAACAGGCCATGGCAATATAGTTGTTTTAGCCCATCCTTCCATGCTCTGTGTTTTGTCTGATTCCTTTCTTGGCTCTTTTAGATCAAATGTGAAATCACTGCTCCTCTGCAGCATGGTCAGTTCAAGTGCAGTACTGGAGTACAAAAGACTAGAGTGGCAAGCTTGATTCTGCTTGGCTTTTTCTATCTTGAGGCTATTTTAATTTGGAAGACTTGGGAGCACTCCTAGGAAAAGTTAAAATATATTAGGTAGCTAAAGACCCTTTAACTACTTAGAAAGTGTCCTGGTTAAAGCACGACAGAAAGCCAGATTAACATTTATTCATTGTGACTCCAAGTGACAAATCTGCAAGAATTAGTTGCTAGCATAAAAGTGTGATTGCAGAAGCAGCAGTACATCAGTGTGCTTCCCCAAATTTGTCTTACTTTAAATCACGTGCTAAGTGCAGAATGACTGGTTTGTAGAATAAGGAAATTACAGGAACACTTCCTTCAAATGTGTTTTTCTTCTTAGTAAGTTGTGAAAGGTCAGCTATTGCTAAACACCAACATTCTGTGTGAAAGAGAACTGGCCGCCCCGGCTGTTGCCAGCCCAGAGCAGAACTGCAGTTCGTCTCCACGCATGCCTTCTCTTCAGTCAGGCCAATGCAGAGACAGCCAAAAGTGCCTAAGTTTAGTCGTGTCTTATGTGAACAAAAGCCCTTAATGGATTAAAGATGTTTATATGAGCTTTCTACTTTTAGACTCAAGAACTTGATGGCATCTTTAGAATCCCATCTTGAAAATGTGGAAAAGCCTACTTACAGACACTAGAGCCTTTTACACAACAGAGGTGGTAACTAATATATGCTCCACAGAAAAGCTGTTTGCTCCCTCCACAAGAGTGAAATTAACTTGCTTAGAATAGGTTTTATTGACCTTTTAGCAAACCTAAGTCAAATCAAATCTCAGAGTTGGCAGCTGAAACCAAAGTAACTCCACAGTTTGACCTTTACTGTGCCTCTCATTTCCCTTTCCCTTAATGCAAGCGAACAACATCTCATTTTATAATATTATCACAGAAGTGAAAACCATATGTACAAAACATCTCATTATCTATATTGAGGCATAGTGTTTTGAACTGTAACATCTGGTTGAGATCTGAGAAAGATACCACAGGGTTGTGTGTATTATGTTTGAATAGCTTCCAGATGTGTTGTTTGGTGTCATTTTTTCCCCACCTGTATGAATTACAGATTTGCAATTATGGACAGGCAACATATGCCTGAATAGTTAGCCTGCTGTATTTATTTCTTATTTACTTATAACTGTAATGAATTTTTAAGTTGTTAGTCACTGTGAGGCCAATACAACCTTTTGCCTTACAAGTTACATCATGCAAGTGGTTGTAGTGGGATTATTCAGATATAGTTTCATCAGAAGGTAGTTTCTAATGTATCTCCTTTCACACACTTCACTTTAAAATCTGATTGAATAAACAAATTTTCCCATAATTTACAAGAAAAAATAGTACATAACTATTTGTGTTGTTAGTTTTAACTTTCTAGACCCTAAGGAGGGAGCAGGAATATCCTACTTTAATAACGAAATGGAAAAAATATGATATCAGATCTACACAGATATGAAATACTGACTGTATTAAAATCAGTGGTAGATCTATTTTTTTTCCTTCAGTAAGGTCAGAATTTCACTCAGAAAATCCTCTGTGAATTTAGAAGGTGACATTTTTACATAGTCTCTCTTTGTGATTTTTGCTTTTTTAATGACAGTTTAGTTGCTGAAAAACACAACCCTTATAAATTCAGTACTTACTTAAACTTGACTTTGTGAAGTTTAGTGTTTATAGTGAAATTCTTAAAAGAAAAATTTGAGAAACTTGGATATGTTGCTGAAGAACTCTACTCAATGAAGAACTCTTGGACTAGCTGTTGTAACCAGACAGAAAATTAATTTCTTAATTTGTGTAACTACTTCAGATAGATAAACTGCAGATTACATTTTTCACATCTTTTGTATACATCACTCAGTGTGCTTGGTTTATTTTTGTAGGCAGAAGCTATCCCTAAAAGTAATGGATTATTATTAGAAAGAAGACAAGAACTGCAGAAGGAAATTGAAATGACCAAGAGAAGTTTAGCTGAACAGGTGCTGAGTTCTGCTTTCTCATACTTTTTCACTGTAACAGTTGGTTTTCAATCATGAGAATAAAGGGACTGTTGGAATTTAAAAAGATGGGAGTTTCTAGATGCAGCTTTCTGGTGAGAAGACATGTGATTGTATTTGTTCAATTTTAAAGACCACTTGTTTGTCATATTTAAAAAACATTTTTTCGGTGTTACTGGTCACATATTGGAAGGCAGAAAGCAAATCTACTTTCTAGTTTAAGTCCTTCTGAACATCATTAACGACATTACAACTGGAAATATGATGGGTATAAATTTCCTTGGCATATGGCAGAATGCCTTGTTGAAACAAGGACAATTCAGCATTTGTACATTATAATTTTTCATCTTCAGAGTTTTGTCATTTGTGGATGTCTGTCTATACTCAGCACAGCCATATATAGTGTGGAACTGCAGATGTCTTGATCATGAGAGTATTAGTACCTGCCACTACATAAATGACTTTATAAGAAGCAATATATTTCAGATATACTTTCTTCTTAAGATCATACCTCTTTATCTTGTTTCCCTTATATCCGTTTTTGTTTTGTGCTGTCTTTGAATTCGTTAACATTATCAGGTGGGATTCAGCTTGTGTTTGAATACATATGCATTCATTATCTACATGTCATTATTTGTGTATGGGATATGTATCTAATGTGCCAGGATAGTCAGTAACAATCTAGTCAAGTAGTCAGTGGAGCCTAGGAAGCCATCCATTCACCTCCTTCTAAAGAGGTTAGCCTACATTGAGTAGAACAAATAGCTCTTTAGAGTTCACTGGCTGGATTGACAACACTAGGCATCTAGATACTCTGTTTTAAATGTCTAAATTTGGTCTCTTAATGTGAAAGCTCAGTGTCATCCATTGTGTAATATGGACATGTCAAGACCTGTCAGTATGCTTATTTAAAAATTAGGTGGCCATGAGGAACCGTTCTGCCCACTGGGCAATAGCTGAAAGACATGCTAGATTGAGGAACAGAAATGCTTCTAGGTGATAAAATATTTTGACATGTTATTATAAGGCTTGTGCATGGTGTTTTAGCTGGTATTTTAAAGCAATTTTTTTTTTTTAAATCCATGTAGTCCGTATATATGTGTACTTTGCAGATAAACCCTAACTATTTCCGACTTCGGGTTTGCCAACACTGATGCATTGATGCATAAGGAATTGAATTTAATTTTCTTTAGGAAATGATGTCAGATACGGATGCCCACATGTTAGAAGAATATATTGCTGAAGAAGGCCGGCTTTTCAAAGAACAGGAAAAATGCAGAGATGACTTATCCAGACTTGCACATCTGACTTGGCTCAAAGTTGAAGAGAGGGACCAGAAATCTAGGGATGTCCAGAAAGCCCAGGTAAAAAATTATCTCATATAATTGGAAGACTCTTCTAGAGTGAAAGCTGGTATATGAAGAAATTAAATTGCTAGTGAGGAGAGCCTTGTGGACTCTCATTTCACACTTTACTTTGAAGTTCCATCACAACACAGGAAGCTCACAATACTGTGTTGTTTTATTGGCAATTTATGGTGCAGTGCAATAATATATTAAAATATCATGTCACAATTGAAATAAGGTATTCGAAAGGACATTTTCTTTCAAGCCTATGGAATAGAGAGGCAGAAAAGCAGATAGCCTCAACTGAGATTCTCAGAAGTACAACTATGTGTTTTATTTTACAAATATATGGACATTAAAAGAAAAACAGAACTGCTACTCATTCCAAGAAGAGGCAGCAATTTTTATTTTCCTGACACATTTCTGGGTGCAAATTGTTATATTAATGTGAAGAAAGAGGGAAAGAAACTTTTCCTATGGTCACAGAAACTAGGACTAGTCATTGGGTTTGCTGCCTGCAGTTTGCTGCATTATAATATCATATATGTGCTGTAATATTGCACAGTTTATACTGACTACCAGGTTTGTATAGGGGTGCAAGGTATTTCTGCTTCCACAATGTACATCTGTATTCAAATAAATTAGATAAGCTACCCTTCTAACACTTTGGGAATCTTTGACTGTCTATAAAAATAGAGTAAACAAACATGTCAGGCTTTGCACCTTCAGTAAAAATCAGTCCGTAAACAGATCAAAAAAATAAACAATACAAAGTAATGAACACACACACATGCCCAGAGTTACAACCCAACATGCACCAGCTTTTTTAATACCAATCTCCTCCTCCTGTTACCAGTAGGAGGTGAGAAAAGACCTCTCCATTGAAAGTTAATGACACGGGGTATTGAAGACTGAACACAACTGAAAACAAAAGGTGCAGAGCCATAACAAAATGTACCATTCTACTCAATCGTCAGTGATTGCTTAAAAGCCAGGAAAGAGTTAAAAAGAAATTAGATTTGAAAAGGTACAATTTCAGTGGTGCATATGCCAAATAATTATATAGTGATGGAAGCGAGAGCCTGATTAACAGAAACAGTGGAAGTCCAGATACAAGGGACCAAGCATTTTAAGATGCAGCATCAAATCATGTACATTAATAACAGTCTTTGTAAGCTTAATATACGCAGAAAAACTGTGTTCTTTAATGTTGTTACAATAAAAGCATTTCAATTAGAATAAGTTCTTAGAATAATCTCGCCTTGCTGTGTTTTTCTCATCTAAGAGGAATAGCTGTTCTGAGTCATTTCTTTGAAGATATTTCTTTGATATGTCTAAAGTGCTCACTGAATTCTATTTAAATTTCAGATACAACTCCAAAATATTATTAAAGAAATAAAGAGAAAGGATCTTGAAATAAAAGAGTATAAAAAAAGGAAAAGACAAATCAAAAAACAGTAAGAAAATAATAATAATACATCAGCTAAAAAGTGTCTTTTAAAGCAATTTTTATCCATGTATACATAAAATTATAATAATTATTTCTTTCACACTTGTCATTTCCTCAGACTCCAAGGATTTGCTAAAATGTATGAAGTTATCCAAAATGAAAGGAATAAATGTATAAATTTGGTGCATGCTGCTCAGCAGAAAGCAAGTGAAATTAAAAACCGGGTAAAATTGCTAGGAAATGAAATAGAGAATTTAAGGAATACTGTTATAACCAAGGAAAGGTGAGTTTTAAGCAAGCTGTAGATCACAATTATAGAAATGTATGATTAGAAAGAATCTTAAGAGATAATCTAGTCCAACTTCAGCTATGCCTCTATCATCCTTGATAGTTATTATCCTGATTTTTAAAACTTGATTACAAGACATTTAGCAAAACCCTTACATAACCTGTTCCAATTTCTTGTCACCCTAACACTTCACAATTAGCTTGGACATTACTGCATGTCACGAAGCATTTTTGAAGTTTGTCTGCCTACTCTTTCACTTTCCTGTCCTTTGAAGGGATAAATTGTCATTGCATTTCTTTTGTATCACAGTTCTTGAGCCTCTGGTATCTGAATTATCATGCTATTTCATTCAATATGAACAACACTGTTGTACTTATACTTGCTTATCCATCAACAAAAAGAAGTCCAATACATACGTGATTCCACAATAGGCTGGTGCATGGTACTGTTAAATCAGTCGCTAGCTAGTAATGCAGCTGTCTGATTATTGAATTAGAACAAACTGGGTTTCTTGGTTCAAACTCAAACTGAAGTTTATTGGATAATGTTTATTTCAGATCAAACAAAACATGGTTTCAATTTCCAGGCAATCCTAGTCAAAATGAAAGGTTACATTCACAACAAAGAGGGTGAGGCAGAAGAGGAGGTGCATGTGACTCTATTTTTTTCCTAGACCGTTAGTTAGTGGAGATGTCTTTTTGCCATCCTGGTGATGATATTCTGCAATATAGAAAGAATGACAATGTCTCTGAAACTGGGAGTTGGGAAAGTAGGAAGCTAGTTAACTGTGTATTCAAAACAGTACAGCCAAAATTCAGTAGTTTAAAAATAATTCGATTTTCCCAAAACTTTACTTTAGATGCCAAAAAATTGCACAACCAGACCAAAGAATGCATTCGGGATACATTAACTCAAAGTATACTGTGAATCTCGGAGTAGCTTGATTTCAAAATCATGCTGGAGGTAGCTAGAAAAGAAGTGGAACTTCAGTGATATAAGTGATTTTTTGTCAAGACACACAAGCTGACATTTTGTGCTAAAATTTTTGAGGCCTTCACAGTCAATCACTGGTGAAAGGAGGGGGACAACAAGGCTAAGAGGGCAGATATATATTGTCTAGATATCAGAAATATCTAATTATTATAGACGACCCTACTCCAGTACAGATCCCACAGATCCCATTTTGGTCTCTACAAACCTAGTTTTAAAACTGGCAAGAGGTACTGAATTATCACGAATTCTCTTGCCTATGGAAAATATTTTTAATCCCGGTAATAGACTTTAGTATCATAGTATCACTGACTTAACTGCAACCTACACAGTTTGGAGGACAGAGTATCAGTCCAAATAAAAGGAAGGTTTTTTGGAAAATATTTAATAACACATTGCATTTCTGCAGTACTGTCATGCTTTCAATCTGAAACTTGCTTTACAGAAATTTAATTCAATCCAGTAATACCCTGTGGAACTGAAAGTGTTATACACACAGGGAAAATGAACTAGAAGGAAGCTCACTGCTCTGTGTAGAGTAATTCAGAAATGTAATGATGGAGCCCATGAGGGGAGGCAGGATATTTCATCCACAGTTCTGTATTTTAACAGGAGACCATGCTTCTCCTTTCACTACCTCTTTTGTATGTTGATGTGAATATCTCCCCAGTGTAGATAAAGTAGTGATGCCTGGTCAAGAAGTGATACTTACCACAATCAAAGGCAGTAACTCTAAGTTCCATGTCGTGAGCAAATGAATGATCCATGTGGCAACAAGAATCTGTATTTTAAGTGAGGGACCATCATCTAGTGGCCTGCAGGGTCACTAGAAATAATGAGTCCTGTTCTTCATTTTTTATGGGTCTGTAATGAGATCTTGTCACTAACCTTTCATTGTGATTTTTTTTTCTCATCTGTCAAACAGGAAATTGATAATCTTCTTTCTTGTGTGAATGTCGTGATACATTGTTTCATAAAAAATAAACTTGAAGACCTTTGAATCACAAACACAAAATTATTTAAATATCACTCTTTAAATAGAAGGGCAGGATTTCTACACATTAGGACTTTGTATCACAGTTTAAACTTCTGCTCTTGAATGTTATTTCTTTGTCCCCTTGGGCTACCCAGTGGAGATGAAAAGAGCTGTAGTGCAGTGCTCCTTTTATAGCATTTTCTTGGGCCATAATCCAGTTCTCTTCAAGCTGGAAAGAGCTTGCAGAGAGAAGCTGTTCTCAAGAAGTCTTTCTACTTCTTGTAATGCTTCTGTGAAGCAGTGACTTAGAAGATCCTTTGTGTATTTGAGGAATTAGTTTAAGCTCTGCTTTTAATTGCTGAAATTGCTTTCAAATTGAAGGGACTAAAACCTTTCCTACTTTTCTGTTATGTTAAAGAAAATTGCAGAAACAACATCTGAAGAATACAAATAATGTAGCAATTACAGACAGTCTCAAAAATGATTATTGCAAAATTGTACAAATCGTACATGAGATGAAAGAAAAGAAAAGGCAACGGTGTCTGGATCTCGAGAGACTTACCAATACGGTCACTTGCATCGAAGAGGAAATTGTGCAGCTGCGCAAAAAATATGAAAGGGCTATTCAGGAACAAAATGACAGGTATACATGTAAATTTGATGTAATGTAGTGTTTAATTTTGACATTCATGAAGCAACAATATTTTTCAGCTTATGAGCACTCCTAGTTAGGAATGCTAAAAGAATGCCTCACTACAATGTTTCACTAAACGGTCTGCCTCACTGCAATGTCCGGGCTACTTTGCATTATACAGATGTTTCTCCATTGGTGATGATGTTCATTCTCCAGAACCATTATCAAAAAAATATAGTGGCTTGGTTTCTGAATGCCTTGAGAACTTGTAGCTTCCTGCTCTGTTTGTGCTTTGTGCACAGGTAAGGTATAAAAATGCAGAAGATGTAAAGCTCCCTGATCTTGCTAGTCCATTTTTAAATGAATGCTGTGGAAGGCCAGAAGAGCTTTTAATAAAATTATATGAGACACTGGAGTAACCCTTGCAATTGTTTGTTCTCTGATTTTCACATTGTAATTATTTTGTTACCTATTTAAAATATTATCATGATATTAAAATAATATTTGTGAAAGCTTTGTACATTTCCGCAGATTATTACTGTCTTTCAAAGTTGCCAGTTATGTACTTGAATGGAATACACTGAATATAAGTCAAATTTTTTTTAATTTTACCTTTTCATTTTGGGCTTATTGCAGTGGTCTTCTGCTCAGAGAACGAGAAGAAGAACTATGCATTTTATATGAAAAAATAAACATGCAAGAGATGTTGTGTAGAAATGGAGATATTGAAATGCAGGTTATGGATGAAAAGATCAGATTTCTGAAGCTGAAGGTAGCTGAGAAAAAGAGACAGATTAAATTGTGGTTCAAAGCGCTCCCAGTGAAAAATTCCCTGGACGCACATCTGGTGGTACTTCAGATACAGGTTGGTGGGAAAGAAAGCCTTTTTTTTTGTTGTTTGTATTATTCTGTATTTTAAAACTTAACATAATTTCATAGAAAAAAAAGGCTGGATGTACAAGGTTTATTAAAACAGAAAGTTCAGTAATACACCTGTCTAGCAAAACACTGTTGCATGTTTTAAACTTCAGATACATTTCTACGCTTAGGTGTAACTGGCTGATGCACTTTGTTATGCACATGCCAAACGCTTCCTGGGTATGGAATCTCAGCTAACCTTACCCATAGCCTGAAACGTCAGTATGACTAAGCTGGAGAATGGGAGTCATGGGGAAAAAATGGGAATATAGATAAAATTTTTTAAAACTGTGTTGATGGGGGTAGGTGGAGGGGTGGGAGATATACTTAGCTCTTCAAAATTCTAAAATAATAACTCAATTCACACTTGACCCTGAGCCTACTCTGGAAACTCTGCTGCCTACAGTGATATAATCCACATATATTTTCTTCTACACCAAAACAGTGTAACTTTTAGTTCTAGTTACAAAATGACATTAAACAACTAACAAACTGCAGTGTTTGGGACATTCTTTCCTTGCTTTCTGAAATGGCTCATTTACTTTTGACCTTATCTCCAGATGGTAATTTTTTCCATACATATTCTGTTAGTGCCTGCACAAAATCATAAATTATGGTGTACCACTGCCTCTCATAATTGCATCAATGGGAGCTGTGACTCACTGTGAAATAGTGCTTGCACTATTCTGTTACTTCTTGCCTTTTAAAGAAATTGTATGCTCTGCTGAAAGAATAAAATGTTGTACAATACCTTATGCAAATCATACCCCAAAGAACTTTACAGTGCCATTACAGGTTTAAACGATGAACAGAGGCAGTATGAAAAAAAAGATGATAGCCTAAAGAAAAAAAGAAAAAACAGATGTTTTCAGGTAAGATTTAGAGTGAGACTGAGAGTCACTGAGTCAAATGCAGTAACAGAATGCAGATGATTTTCGTGAACTGACAGAGTCAATCATGAAACTTTGCTTTTTCTGTTCTGCATTCCTAAAACTTTCTCCTTTCTTATGATGGTTCATGTGAAGCCTAAAATCACTGTTAAAGGGAGGCTATTGTTACAGGTGCTTTAATTCTTTTTGCAATAATGACATAAAATTAAAAAGTAGGAAAATACAGAGTGGTGTGATATTACACATGGAGTGGTCTTAATAATTGTTCCCAAGTCAGAGATTTTCCAGTGAACAATGGCAAATTACCAGTTATCAGCCTTTTTAAATGTAACTAGATACTGTGGTTACTGAATACTATGTGGTTCAAACTGGCCATTAACCTGGCCGTCTCCTTGTGCTCAACCATTCTAGCATTAATACTCTTCCTCCCACTGCCAATAGCCATTATGTCTAGTGAGAAACAGTTTCAAATTGTTTGGCTTTATCTCCATGATTTAAATAAAAGCCATAAGCTCGAATCTGAATTCTGGTGTTGGTTGCCAAATTCAGATTGCTACTTCCTGTACCGATTACAGATTTGACCCCATGTTGAAATCCAACTCAGCATCTGTTCCGTTGTGATGTGCAAAGGATCTTACGATAATGATCATTTGCACAAGGCTTTAACTTGATATGGTGAATACAGATATACATCACTTGTCTGTTAAACGAACCTCTGAAGCCAAGCTGAAATCTGAAGAGGTGGTAACAGGAGCTCTTTTTGGACTACCATTTGTCAATCTTTCAATTTAGATAATTATAAACATTCAGAGAAAGGATCAGTGCAGCACAGGACTATGAAACCCTGATTTCTATCGGAGGCCCTTGGATCTCCTATAATGCATACTGTAAATCTCATTTCTGAGTTCTCCTCTTCGTTTTTATTTCTCCATTCTGTTGTGACCTTGTGTAGGAGCCAGTGTGCCTAACCTTAACTTTGTGTTAGGAGCCCACAGAACAAATTATGCCGATAAGTGAACAAGGTGTCTTTATTAATGGAAAGAATTGGGTGTCTGCCTCCAGAGGGTGGTCCTGATAACCTTACTTAGGGAGCACGATATTCCTGCTAGAGGTCTTTATTCTCAAGGCACCTACCTCTCCCCACTGATGGTATGGTAAACTTTGAATCATATAAGAAGGATGCTTCAAAAAGCATCTTCAATTGAAATATAGTTTAGACCGTCTGAATTAGGCAGGCTGAATCCTGTACCTGTACCTCTTAAATTTTCTTCTCAATTTTCTTCTCCTTAAGTCTCGGGTATTTTTCAGACTCTGTCATTATTCTTATCTGTTCTATTTTTCTCCTATCCTGCATATCCCAATTTTCCCATTACCCTAGAATTTTTTTTCTTTTTATCACTTCATGGGTGAATTCAACTTTCTAGTATTGTATGCTGAATGATTTTTCCAACAACAGATATACATCATTGGTAATACTTCAAATATAGAGAGAGATCTGAAAGGAAAACAAGATTCAGTCTTACAAAATAGAAAATATTTCAATATTTGTTTTTTTGCATTTGACTGAAATATTTGGACTCTTTTAGAGGCACTGTTTGAATCTAGGAAGTCCCACGTATTCTCAGCAGATGCTTCAATCAGCACTAAATTAGCTGTCCTGAGACGGGATATCTATTTCTGTTAGAGATACACCTCTTGGAATAGATGGATGGATGAATGAGTACATTGTATTCAGTTGGCTGCAGAAACTGACCCCCTGCCTAGGTGGCTGTGGTACTCATTGGGAAGGGGAAAAGCACAGGTCAGGGCTGTGTGCGAATTCAGCAAGAACAAAAATTCCACCTGGGTCTCCTATGTTCCACATGAGCTGCTTAATCAAACTGATGTATGTTCCACTTGTATGCTTTTCATCAGAAGCTGCATATTTCCACAAAAGAGCGAAACATTGGTGAATAGGTTTTAGCTAATAAAATACTGTTGTCTTAAGCAATACCAGACCTCTTCTAAGCAAGTACTTGTAACATGGACTAGGTATTTTTGTTACTATCAATGTAAAGCATTAAATAGAAATATTTACAGCTACTTTCTTTGTCTGACACAAAAAATACCTGGTGAGGTTCTAAGGTGGTTTTCTCTGGGCATAAAATTATGTAACTTTTAATTGGGACTGCACATCAAGGGACGGTTCCCACTGACTGAAATGACCCATGAAAACTAATCTGCCTTCATGCATCAATGAGAAATACTTAGCATTAATAATTAATTAGTCCAATATGTAGACCTGCTGAGCTGTCGAGATGCTGTAGATGGGACTTTCATGCCTCGGAGTTCAGCTAACGTACACGGACTGTCAGTTTGTTTGAGGTATTTGGCATCAACATTTGTCCAGGTTTTAATACAACCCCATTAAAACCTCCAGACTACATCATCACAGTCATAGAAAAACAGGGCTAGTAGAGAGGTAAAGAGTTTATCTAGGCAATCCTGCTCCTACTCCTGCATTGGATTGCCTGTCATTCCTGAGAGGGCTAAGCTGTGCTTTCAAACCACCACTGGGAAACCCCAGTTTCTCTGGCAAGCTGTCCCAGTCCTTCCTTAACAGTGGAAAGATTTTCTTAACCTTTAGCCTGGATCTTTCTTGCTGCAGTGTAAGAATATTGATTTGTATTCTGTCCACCAGGGACGTGACAAATGGATCATTGTCTTCCTCCCTGCAACATGTCATGTTACTGGGAGAAAGTTAATCATGTTCCTCTCCCATCCTTTTGCTAGGCTACACAATTCTGTTTCTTTCAATCAGCCCTTCCAGATTTTTCTTACATCATTCTTTTTTTGCATTTCTTTTATTTTTGGCAACTTGGTCTTTATTTTTCTTGAGGTGCAGTGCCTAATATCAGTAGCTGAGACTGAAAGGATTCATTCAGGCATCTTGCAGGTTACATTCTTGCTTATGCGTCCAGATACGACGGTAGCCTTTCTTGCAACATGACATATTGATTCATCTTCATGTAAACGTATGTAACAACCAGACCCTTTTTTGACGAAAGAGTATATAAACAGTTGACCTTGATTCTGTATTTGTACAGGTAATTTCTCCTGCCTACATGTAACACCTTGCATTTGTTATTTAATATTATCTCTTTTGTTCAGACCAAGGTAATTTTGAATTTGAATCTTCTCCTCCAAGAAGTATGTGCAGTCTGAGCTGAACCTTACTCTACTGATATAGTACTTACCTTATATTTTCATAAGAATGGATTTCCTTAGCTTGTTTATATGAATGTCATATGAAACAATATTGAAGCTATGTAAAAATCAAGATGTATGATACCTACTATTTGTCGTCCACACACCTGTTAAATTATCATAGTAGGAAATGGTCTCATTTGGCATTACTCAACACACCTGTGTTGGCTGTTATTCCTACCCTTTTTCTTTTCTGGCTACCTACAAAGAAAGCTTAATGATTTATTCCAGATTTATTCTTCAGAAAGTGAAGATAAGTTATCTATCGTTCCATAGCTCCTTTTCCCCCCATTTTTAAAAATAGGTAAGATATTTGCTCTTTTCTACTGCTCTACGTACCTCACCTACCTTCTCTGAGATTTCCAAAATAACATCAGATCTCCACTTTTTCAGACCAGTGCCTTTATTTACACATGTGTTCCTTCCTGTCTGTTCATCCTTCAACAATTCCTTCTGACTGATTACAGTCAAACATAGAAAAGCCTCTCTTGTAGAGCCTTTTCCTATCCCCTGTATTAAATCCACTCCAGGAAAGGATTTTTTTTGTTTTAAGACTTAGAATCTCTTAGAACCTTTTAGAACTCAGATAAAGTCTTGTCCAAGGAAAACAGTACGAATCAGGAGAAAATAGATGCCTACAGTCACATCACTTAAGCAGGCACAGAATAGCATGGTTATCTCTAAATGTGCTTTCTTTGCTATACTTTTGGATTAGCCTGCATCTAATCACTCCCAATTCATATTGCATTTAAAAGTAAGCCTTGTATTTAAATTTAACATGAAACTTTTTATGGAGTTTTTATCTGGTTCAGAGAGTGTTTCTGCTGCACTAGTCCTTCTTCTCTAAATTAACTATTCAATCCTGCAAAATTTTACTTGGAGAGCTGTCCCTAATCTCATTAAGGTACCACTGCCTCCAACAAGGTATTTTCACCTGGGTTAGTTGTTGACAAATTTGAACCCAGATAGGAAACATCACTGGAATTATAGCTGCATCCTGTTGTTTGTGCTGGTCCTGCTTTTACATTCTTCCACTCTCTGTATTTTTGAGCATCAGTTTTAGTTGTTTATAACTAAAATAAATCTTTCAGTACCTAGTTATGCACTGAATCATGGTTTGCCAAGGAAATTCTTCATTACAGTCATTTAAGGTTTTTACTTTGCCTGTTCTTAGACAAAGTGTAAAAGAAGCTGTGTGACGCTTTTTTACCAGAACAAGAAGTATTTAAGACAAGTGTTCTGGTAAAATTCCATTACCACCCAAGAAGATCTGTCAATTTTCCCTTTTCCAGTTAAACATGACTTGTTAACTCCCAGTGAACAAGCCCCAAACCGGTAGCAACATCTAAACATTTACTTTATATTTTTGGTGACCGTTTGTAACTTTGAGAGCCAGTGACCACTTATTTCCTTCATAAGATCATCACTTGCAATTGATGGTTAGCATTTATAGCAACTTACTCGGGTTATGTTATGTCAGCGCTAACAGATCAGGGTTGGAGTGACAATGCGCTGACAGATGGCCAGGTGCATGTCAAAGCACAAAACCCCACCACTGTCAGTCTTGCAAGTCCAAACATGAAGAAATGGTCCCAGCCACTCCTTCAGTGAGTATTTACGTGAAGCATGGATATCCATCTGGTGTATTCTGGGAAGTGTTATTCCATGGGAAGGTCTCAGATCAGAAAGGTCAGGGAACACCTGCCTCTCTGGGTCCTGGGAGTACCACATTGCTCAGTGTCACCACTGAGTCATTTCAGGACACATGCCTGAGAACTTTAATGTAGAAAACTTGGATGCCTGTAGGGATGAAACCTTTAGTGCTAACCAGTGTGGAAGTGGGACTTTCAGATTTAACTTGCAACCAAATCGTCAGGCACTTGCATCCCTCCTACATCCCTACATGGATCCTGTGGGCCAAAGAGAAGATTGTAGGGAATAAAGGAAGACCCCCCCCACCTCAAACGTTTGGTGTATTCCTCAGGATAAAAAAAAGGAGCCCGAGGACAAAGCAGCAGGTGGGACTCAATTTCTGGTAGACAGCAGAGTTTACTTCCATCCTGCAACTGTCACACCGTTGCCTCCTTAAGAAAAAAAATAAAAATGGCTCAATCCTTTGTATTAACTCCCCCCCGCCCCAGCACAAGGAGACCTTGCCTGTTAGCCTCGGGAGATCCTGCAGCAACGTGCTCAAATTGCGAGTCCTGCAGGAGCCCCAGGCGCTCGCCACTGCCCCTGCGCAGCCGCCTCCCCCACAGAAGGTGCCAGCAGGGCCGGGCTGCGGAGACCTGGGGCGCGGGGAAGGACGCAGACACCAGTGGGGGCTCCCACCCTTCCCCAGTGCTCCTCTCCCCCCTCCTCAAGACGGAGCCGTAGCTGTGGCAGGTCTCAGCTCGCTGCCCAGCCCCAGCAGCTCCACTCCGCTCCTGCTGACAGTGGCTGTGGAGGGTGGTCCTGAGCCCACCCCGCTATGGCCCAAGTTTGGTACAAACCACCTGTGGCTTTTCATCCAGCCTACCAGCAGGACCTGATGAAGCTATCAACCCCCAGGGCAGCCTTTTTCTAACTTCCCAAACATGTTCAGAAGGTAAAAATCATCTTCTAGTCCAGGGCTCTTGTCGTGACACCTGGTGGCTCAGAGAAGCAGCCTCTTCCATGCAGCTGCATTATTTATACACAATTTCAGGTTGTGTTGCATGTGGAGAAGGAGTCAAGAGAACAAGTGTTCAAGACACTTAAGCCATTAATAAGATGAAGCCCATTTATATTTGTGCATTATAGGGATGACCTTCCATGACAGTCTACCAGTTTGCAAATTCCCATCCGTTAGCAACAGGACAGGAGAATGATGTACAACCACCTCTGGTTTCATAGGGATATGTTTTTCCAGTGTTCGACCAGTATCATTTAGCTTAGGCCTACCCTGTCCGAGCATCCCAAACACTCTCCCAGCAAGGCCAGAGACTTGCTTCTGAGCCCAGGTGTTGGCAGTGCAGCCACCCCAGTCTCTTTAGTGCAGTTCTCCTGGTGTAAATCAGACACACCACGACCTTCCATCTCTGGTCATGTAGGAATAGCAGAGCTTTTGGCTTCTTGTCTGTTAAAAATAACTGTTGTGGCTTTGTGTTTGCTAGTATTCCCAGTGCAAGGACAGGCTTAAACAGATGGAGGAAATCTTTGCTGATCCTGCAAATGAGAGTAGAAAGCGAGACTTGGGAGGGAAGGACCCATCTCCACCTGAGCTGCTAAAAAAGATTGAGCAGGTAACATCACTTCTCATGCCACAAGCCATCCCGCTGTGATTGACCACTTTTAGAAAAAGCAAATGGTATCTTTTATTTTAAAAATAAACTTACTGTAAGAGGAATTAAAACAATTATGATTGGCTAATGGGAATTCTAGCCCAGCATCTACTTTCCAGGACAACTGGATGTGGGACATTTTGATGTCTTCCAGCAGAGGCTGGAGAGGGAGGGCTCTGTGTGGTGGACCTGGCTCTGCAGCATCCTCTGCTAGCTGGTCCATTTGCATCACTGGCACTTCAGTGCAGACCCTCCCAATTCACTAGGGGAAGGCACAAAAAAGGCAGCAGAGGGAAAGAAATGCAGAATAACAAACTGCTAACAAACGAAGTTGTCATTCTTCTGCAATTGGCTATTAGCTGTTCCACCACTATGCACGGGCTGCGAGCGGGAGGCAGTCCCACTACCCTCTTAACGAAGTCTGCATATGTGACATGGGATCAAATAAACATCTTTCTCGGGCTTTGGTTGTACTGCTTTGTTTCCACGCCGAGCAGGGTGCCACAGAACAGACCTTTATGGAAGTGGCAGCCAGGCCAGCCACGCAGCTGCACACCTGACTGCAGCATTGCTGGCGACTGCCAGGAGAGGCTTCAAAACGAAGCATTAGGTCCAACACAAAAGCCAGTTTGAGGGCACCTCCTGTATGGCGTATGGGGGGGAAGGTAAAGGAATGGAATGAACAACAGTAGTATTTTCTTAGGTATTTTTGTCTGTCCCATTTATAGGGGCACAAAACTCCCCCCACTGTATATAGTGTTCGGGGTAGATTCACACAGGGCTGTGAAGGTATTAGAGTAACAGGGTCGGAGCAGTACATGCCAAAGTCCTCCTCTTGAAATCCAGTTTGTAAGGATTTACCATGAACACTTCTGCTTGAATTACTTGAGCTTTTTGCTTTACTGTCCCATATTCCTTGACAGGAGGGAGCTCTGCATAGCCAAGCAGGCTACAACACAGCCTGCTATTACCAACCTGCACATTAAAAAGCCAGGTTTCTTGGAGTCACAAGATAAGTTTAAACATTCTCGTTTAATCTCCTTGTGATTTTAAAGTACTTTTAGTTGCACAGTACTTTCTTTCTTAGTCTTTGGAGCCTGTGGGTTTTTTTTGGTTTTTTTTTAGCAGCAGGAGGGAAAAGGTATTTAAAGCAAGAGCTGAAACCTTCTCATTATAGCATGACTCAAGGAACCAGATTCAAAAACAAAAACCACTAGAAAAAACCCATTGCTTTCAAGAAAGTCATAGCAAGGCAGTAACAATGCTGGTGTAAGCCCTGGCCTCCCTAAAGGGCCTGGTCTGATATGGAAGAACTGTATGACTGACAGTAACCAACTGAACCAGCTTTGGCCTGATACTTGGCAGATAGCATGAAAATTTTGAGAAAACTGGTGGCAAAGTGATTATTTATGGCTGTTCATCTGTATTATTTCAGCAGCTCTCAAAGCAATCACAGGAACACCCTGCGCTACACTTTCCCCTGTCATTTATCTACACCCTGTATACTCCTTCTCCCTGCAGCTAGAGGTGGAGCTGGTGCAAAAGGAGGAGAAGTTGCTGGAGACGGATCTTCTCTACGAGCACATTTCCCGGCTGACAGACAGAATCCGTGCCACAGCAGAGAACGGGAAGCAGGACACACTGCTGCTAGCTAAAAGGGTAAGGAGGGCATTGCATGCTCTGTTTGCTGGCCTATACAAAATGAAAAAATATGTGGGCAAGAGGTAAGATGACTCACTTGCAAATTACAAAAGTGGCTGGAAATATTGATAGGCAAATAATGTTAGTCTTCAGAAATTACAGACATTTAGTACTAATGGCAATATCAACATACCAACAGCATTAGGTGAGTGTACTTTCTTTTTGAAAGAAAGTTGCACCATAAATAGTACCTTTCATCAAAATATAGGATTAGCTCTTTCTCAGGTAGATGCTTAAAAACTTGGTAGAATCCTCTCCTTGCACGTGTACTTAACAGCCTTTCCACAACAAACAGGGCAAAGGCTAAAAAGAAATAAGGAAAAGCCAGGTAAATTCTACTCCAATATATAAAAAGATAAACTTGATATCTGGCTCAGAAGTTTCTTATATAGGTAGGGAGAACCACACAAGAAAGAAATACCATTTTCAATACAGTTACTTTTAGCTATAATTGTAGCTATTTCCTTTTAACTGCCAGTAGTATTGTTTGGGGAAGAACAAAAAAATCCTCTCATCCCCACCTCTTTAATGAAAAAGCTCCAACTAGAGCAGAGCAGAGCTGAGTGAAAGACAGAAAAAACCCAAAGTAATTAATGTAAAACAAGGCCAGGGTTGATTTTTTTTTTTTTTCCTTAGGTGTTAGGTTTGGCACTCGGAAAGGCTCAAAACAAAACACATCTTTACAGTAACTTTCATTTTCCACAGACAGAGAAATAACATGGCTGTTATTTGGGTTTGTGAAATCATGGCCGCCGGCTAATAAACTACCATAAAAATGGCAGCGTGCCAAAAGTTATATTTGCAAGTGCGCTCTCTGACTCTCCCAATTCCCTATTAGTAATTTAAAGGAGTATTTAAGTTTGGGGTTGTTTTAGGTTTTTTGTGTTTGTTTGGTTTTTTTGTTTAAATCATCTCCAGTCAGACTCAAGGATTCCTGTCCTGTTCCTTTTCTGTTTGTCCCCCTGCCAAGGATAACTTCACAACCCGCAGCCCCGCTGTGTCCGCATTATCACTCAATTATCTTGTAAAGATCAGGCTTATTGCACCATTATTACAAAGTTAATTGTGCATAAACTCAATGAGAATCAGGGTACCAAGCCTTTGAGGGCAGTGAGAGTTTTGCTATTTAGCTGAAAAGGGCAGGAGGTAATGACAAACTTGCTTTTCTGTATCTTGTACTGGAGTAAATGTGGCTTCTTAGGCTGCCAGTTTCTGTGGTTCCATGCGTACACACAAGAAACACGCATCCTGTTTCATTAAGTCATTTTCAAGTATGGAACTATTTTTTAAAACCTTGTTAAGTTGGACTTGTTCTCACCTACCCAATACCTACCCAAGTGTCATGCCCAGCAAGTGTCTAAAGGGAAGCCCTAACTAAAATGCAATTGTTACTCATTCCAGACAAATGAACTGCAGAAGAAGATAAAGGACAGAACCCAGAAGATAATGGCTTTTGTTGCAGAGTTATCCATGAAGCAAGCACTTGCCATTAAACTCCAGCAGGAAGCGAGAGACAAAGAGCAATTTTTGATGACTGTTTCATCAAGGATAGATCAAGGCCTTCCCCCTCCTAAAGAAACAGAAAATGAATGGTTGAAGATATTACGCAACGAGAAGATGCAAAAAGCAGCAGCTGAAGCCAGAGCTGAAGTAAGTTTCCGCCATACATTGCAATTAGATCTTCAGCCCCATCTTTTCACTGCTCCAGCCTGCCTTTCAGAAAAAGAGCTGTGCTCACTGCATAGCTGTTTGCTGCCAAACACGGAGCCCCAGGAGTCAGTGGAGACGATGGTATAGACAGAGCCAGCTACTAAAGCAGTACATGGTGGGTTTGTGGAGTTTTAGCTGCAGCCTGGCAACACTGCTTAGAACTGGTCACTGAATCTTAAGGAGAGAATACACTAAAAGGAAGACTTACCTTCAGTTATAGAAGTAATTTGTATGACCATGTTTTGGACTGATGAGCGAGATAGCCATTGGTGAGGTACTGCTTCCCATTTGATTTCAAGGTAAAGCTGCAGAAGGTGGGGTGTGGAGTTCAGGAAAAATAAATTTAGCATCTTCCACATACCAGATGCAGTGACCATCAGATCCAAAGTAGCAAGAAGTCAGACTGCTGGGCAAGACACCGAGGGTAGGCAGGGCAGCATATCAAATAGTGCTTCAAATTCTACCCTGCTGCATACTCTGCCTCCTTAGTTGAGACCATCAGTGATCCTAGAGCAGAGAGCTTCCAGAGATGAAAGAGTAGCATAAAAGTGAGATGTGCATACTGGGGGAAATCTTGCTGATGGGAAATCAGCTTCGCTATATGAATCCTTTAGTTGATCACTCCAAGGGAATCTGAAAGGCGCACAAAGCTGGGAGAGGAATATGCTGTGCATACACTTAAAAGAACTTGAAGTCCCACAGAAGTGCTGCAGTAAAACTGGTTTAGAATAAGGAACTTCTCTGTCATTAACACTTCTCCTCATGCTCAGTTTCCTTTCAGTGCTGTGGACACAAGCTCAGTGCAGTAACAGTATTCAGGGACAGCTGCTGTCAGTGTAAATACAGCCACGTTTTGAAGCATCAGGACTATTATCTTGTTCTCGAGATGTTCTGTGCACACTCATTACAACTTTTAAAAGTTCATCTAATCCGTTTTCTTCAAAAGTAAGAAAAGCAATACAGGCTCAAACTGTACGCTGTTTAAAAGGACACACTCGCATCTACATGGTCAATAACTCACGCTTTCCTTTTAATACCCCTCTGGGTTTCCTGGTTTGCTAAGGACTAGACTAATGGTGTTTCCTTTGTTAGGCATTCTGTACGTTGGCTCAGGAGAGTACCGGAGTTTTAAAGCATATAATCACTATGTGATCAAAACGTGTTTCTTTCACAGCATGCAGCAGAAGAGGAACAAGCTGCAGCGCCCGGCTATGTCCACACGACAGCGGAACAACGCCCAACCGCCTACATCCCAGATGACAAATACAGTCTCCCATTGCCGCGGCCCTACGGCGCTCTGGCTCCTTTCAAACCAAGTGAACCTGGTTCAAATATGAGACATTTCAGAAAACCTATTGTAAAGCCAATTGAAATCTGACCAGACAGCACCTAAAGCAGGAGAGGCCATTACTGGTTGCTGAATCTCTAGGGTCAGTAGCATTTACACTGCACTGAAGGAATGTCCACTAGTGTTTAGCCAAATTCCATATTAAAAACAAAACTAGTTGTCAATGCCAGAAGCATAGCTAAATAGTCAGTTATTCAAGTTCCCTTCTCCTGACTAGGAGGAGCCTGGTATCCCAAATGGCAGTGCAGTATTTTAAAATATCAAGAAAAATGAGTGATCATCATACTACGCTTTTTTTTTTTTGCAGGTGAAGTTTTATTGCATCTGATTATATTTTATAATACATTTCATTAAGAAGAAAAGGCTAGAAAAATCTTCTCTTGTTATTAATATAATATGAACAAAGTCCCCAGTGCTTATACAAATGCACCACCATAGCTTTCTGCAGTCTGGGACTGGAGTTGACGCTTGCCAGACAAATTCTAATTATATTGAGAAAAATACTCCTTCCCTCTATGCAGTTATTGAGAAAGCTAAAACTCTTGCTCAGCTGATGGCAATGACAGGGGAATGACCACAAACTTGCTGAGTCGCTCCTGAGAACTGGATCTTTTTATTTCACTGGTAAGGAACTGGAAGCATCAGTGGAAACTGCTCAGAGAAAATACCAGAGGTTGCTACTGAAAACCTCCAAAAATCTGTATCGAATCGTCAATGAGTTTCACTAGTTTAATAGTCTGAAACTTTGACAGAGGTGGTTTTAAATCCAATAAAGACTGCAGAAACCCTACATGTCAGAACTTAAGATTTTCTCTGCATAGCAAACCACAATTATTTCTATTTTAAATGAATGTCACAGTTCAGAATGTAAAAAAACAACCCAAACAATACTGGTTCAGTTATACATAAATAAAAGTTGAAAATGAAGGAAAAACAATCTCCATTTCTTTTTGAAGCTGGGGCTTGAACTGTAGCACTAAAAGTTGTAAGGAAAGAATTCAGTAAAACTCTGTCCAAGCCACCATTAAGGTAAATTTCTAAAGAACTTTTTTCTTATCCTGTATTGCTTACAATATATTATATACATTTTAAAAAAAAACAAACCAAAACCTGTCACAGGCACTTTAAGATTATATTTTGCGCTAATTACAAAACTGAATATACTAGAATCAAACTCCAAAGGCAGAAGTACTGTAAAATAACACATGACCTCCATGAGGAATGAATACATTATTACTGATGCATTATATACAAAAAACTAATTCGTCATTTGTTATTCTTACCTGCTTTACATAAACACACCAAGAAATCATTTTATTAATCTAAATGAGTGAACAGGTACCACTGTCTTGTCACTGTACAATACAACTGGACTACCTTTTTCAGGATTGTCTATCTTGTTAAAATAATTGACATCAATACCAATTTTCACAGCAAGTTTTGATACCCGCTGTAGTTCCACTTATTTGACCATTTCAACGTGAAACAATGAAACCACAGGTATTTTTCATTGGAAACCTGGGTTTGTATCAGATGAATTCTCTAGGATTTATCTAGAAGTCGGTGATTTCAGCCTTAATATGTTGCACCAAACAATATTTTGAGTAGCTTATATCAGTAATGGTGACTACACAAGACTGCAGATTATTTGGAAAACAACATGACATTTCAGTTTAAAACAAACAAAAAAAAAGTCGGTTGCACACTTCTGTGTGAATACTTTTACATAAGAGTACCACAGTTAGCTTCCTTCAAGAACATGTTATTTCAGGAATATTTGAGGCCCAAAAATGTCATAGTGTGTTTGAGTGCCGTTTCCTCTACAAATCTTACGTTAACATGATCTTGTTTTTCATATGGATGCACACCTAGAAAAATCATTGTGAGAAAGTTAGTATTTACAAAATCGTAAGTGTTCTCATACACTTAGTCCTGCAGTCTATTTAACATCTTGACCTACAACACTGAAAGATAAGGTAATAGATGGAACCGTGTTTTTATTTCCACAAAATACCTACGGCATTCAGTGGAGTCGTTTGGATGCTCACTCATGGCAGAAACTTTCCTGTTAGTGGTATATAAGCAAACGACAGACCATCCCTGCAGGCTGCTAGGGATTTCTGTACTAATTCTACACTGGATATCCAAACCAAGATTTGAGCACAGTGGCTACGTTTGTGCTAGTACATAAAACGGACCAGGGCACACTCTCATATGCTTCTATATGGTTTAACTCTTCTTCCTCCCCAAATGGAATGATATCCATACATGGACAATCCTACTTTAGCCTGCAGGTCCTTATCCTGACTTTATTTTGCTTACTAGTATAGGCATAGCCAGTAATGCTAAAAAATGTAATGCTTCCTTTAATGCACCTTGCTTTCTCAGTGGAATTAAAAAATCTGCAGATACTTAGGTCCATTGTATGAAGCAACTGCCCTAACCAATTTGAATTCAATTTCAGAAAAAGGAACAGCACTGAAATAAAAAAATACCTGTTACTTCAGAGCCCCTCCTAATCTAGTGATGTGGATGCTGTTTTCTGAGGTGGAAGATCTGATTTTGGTTGCCTCTTGGCCACCATACTGTGTAAATAAGGAACAAGCCATTCTCCCTATTTGAACACAGAATAACAGCTACCACCATGCTGTGCATGAACCACGTTTCACTACTTGTATGCTGAAAAATGCAAGTTTGCCAACTGGATTCAACATACAGGGGGTGTGGATGAAAGGATATGGCAGTAAAGAAGCCCCCTGACAACTCCCATCAGCAGAAAGACGACCAAACTTACATGTTCAGACATAACTGGAGTTTTAGAACTCAGTTATGTCAATCTAGTCAGGATACGACTGAGTGTGAGCATCAAAGGGTAACAATTACCGGTCTTCCAAAGTACAGAATTAACATTACCTTGATTCTCTATCTCTGCCAACATATTAGTCAGGTAGTTAAGTGGCAAAAACTCTACAGGGACTGAGAGTCTCTCAGGCATAGGACTGCTAGACTGTAAGGGAGAATATTTCATGTTAGTTCACAAAGTCACACAGTGCCAAGTTTCAGTGTTATCTTTAGTGTGCTATAGTCTACAGAAAGGTCAGGAATCTCAACACTGTCAAAGCAAAAGATTTAAAAAAAAAAAAAAAAAAAAAAAAGGCCTGTGTGCTCTTACCTGCCTGTTCCCCAGCTTCTCAAGCAAAAGTTTCACATACTTCCGTGCAATGAAATTAGCATTTATTGGATGATTCCAAAACTGGCGGACCTTTTGACTGAGAGCCTAGTAACCAAAAAACAAAAACCAAAATCTGACAACATAAACAGGACAGTGGAAACTTAGAAGGAGGAAAAGAAGGAAAAAAAATGAATCAAAATACAGGCTGTAACACACATGCTTTCTTTTCAGACACTGATGACAGAAGCCAAGATGTCATCATTTTTAACCCTGGAGCCTTCCTTTCATAGCCAGTACCTAAGAGATAGCAATACGCTCCCAAAACATGGGAAACAATCAAAACCTTGCTACTCAGTACCCACTGAGCTACTCAGTAAGTTTCTGTCAATCAGTCTGTCCCGTTACCTCCCTCCCACTTTGCATGTGTACTTAAATATTAATTGAGGCTTAAAATGACCGTTTGTCCTTTACTGTGACTCTTTGGTTTAGATCCATTCTTCTCCCAAAGAATAACACAGATGCCCCATTCCTCAATGCTCTGTTCAGGATTGGGGCTTCTCTCAGGCTCAGCCTAAGGAATCTTACAAAAGCAGAATGCCAACAAGGAGAGATACTGGGAACAGAATTTGCATCCCATTATTTAGGACATGGTCCTGGGAATTGATAACATCGATTCACATTCCCAAAGGCAAAAGAGATTCAAACCCAGATATCCCAAAGCTTCCAATCCTAACAAAAATGAACACACTGTGCAATCAGCTGCACCTTCTGCTATTTTCCCTATCTAGATCTTCCCCCCCGCCACCGTTCAGTTGTATTGTAATAGAGACTACTGAAAGAGTTCATTTAGGAAAGGCTGGATAGTTTCAATGGTGCTGAAAGACTTGCTTCAGATGCAACTGAAGTCATTTAGTGAATGTAACCTGCTCAAAATAGTCCCAGTCACCCCAAAGTGTCCTTTTTGGCAAACAAACTGTTCTCTGAATTTTTTCCCAAGGCTGTAAATAGATACAATAAGGCACTGAGTCTACCATGCATAACTAGCAGTACATGTCCCCCGAGGCCCTAACAGCTCAGCCCTTCGTGTCAAAGCGGGGTTGGAATGGCGTTCCCCACCCACCAGGCCTGGGGCTGACAGCTCAGAGGCCCCACGCTGACCCCAGCTCACCAACCCATGCCCAAAACAAGATACAGAGGACAAAGAACCGCCTGTGGAGTTCTCCTTCCCTTCCCCTTCTCAGAACTGCTGCCAGATAAAGAAGCCCTTGTTAGAGGAAAACCAAAGCAGCACTTCTGGCCATTTGAACTATACATAACAGCCCATAATGAGCAAACAATAAGCAACTTATGTTGAGAAAAGCCTGTTCTACAGCAAGGCAATCCCGAAGGGGGGATCCCTGGTTTTCCTGTGCTCACTGAGATGTTGTGCTTCCTCTGCAGTACTGTGGTGTGCACCAAGAACAAAAGAGGAAAAGGAGAAGTCAATCTGCCATTCTGCTGGAACTTTCAATGGAGCATCAGTAATTAGTTCCAACATGTGGCTAAAGGAGTCACCTTACCAGTGGGCGAGGCTGGAAGATTTCACAGAGGGGGAGATCTTGTAATTCAATCCCAGCCACAGAGTTGTGGTATGATCGGATTTTACAGCTTTTGCTGTACCAGCTTTCGAGCATATTTGATAAAATGTATAAAACCAAATACAGCGGTCACAAGCGAGACAGACATTTGTGCATGCTAAAAAACACACACAAAACCCCCATAAATTCTCTTTAAACCCCATTAAACCCTTACTGCTTTATGCAGATTAGCACTCAGCAGAACAGTGTCAGTCCTGCCTGATTCCTGTAGGGTACTGGAGACACTGTAAAACACTATGGACAAGTCTGTAATTTAAGTTATCGGGGTACCCTACAGGTCACAAGCAGCAGATGGAGAAACTGTGGAGGTTCAGGTTATATCTGTGCCCTATTTGAATCACAGCTAAATCTTCCATTGGCTTGATCCTATGCACACGGAGGAATTTCCTATCAATTCCAAAATCCAAGAAATTACATCCAAAGTCATTAGTTACCTCAGGAAGCCTCATGACAATACTGAACTTCAGCTTTTCATTCTTCTCAGTGTCATCCAGATCTATAAGGAGAAAAAAAATATACGCAAAAACCCAACGACAACAAAAAAAACCAGTAACCACATAACTAACACTTTCAACTTTCACTGAAGATGTTCTGAATAAATATAACCTTTGTAATGAAATGAAAATTTTAATTTTAAACAAGCACTATTAGGAGTGTTATTTATACCATTTATATAAATATTTTTCTGTATATTTGTACGTAACTTCACCATTTTATGTAACAATTTATACAGTAATTCAAATCTGTTTTGACTAAGGACTCCCTGCATATATAATATTTCATTTATCAAGACCAGGCACAGATTAATACAGCATATTGTGTTGTCCCTTTTCTTGAACACCAAAGAAATAGCACATTACAAGGGAACATGGTTGCAGCTGGGATGAAATGCATTACTGTTGGAAAGTCTTATCATAGTGCTGCTGCATCCCAGGAAACTTACGCTACAGTTCTCTCTTCCTCCCTTCAGATCTAGAAAAGGCAGTTAACTGGAGTCTTAGGCCCCAGTCATTGCCACCATACGAGTGCTAGTTTGTCCTAAGCCTCCTTTGCGGAAACAAGCTACTTAGCACCTGCTGAGAGGAAACCACATACAGAACATGATCTGCTTTTGATGACTACACAGGTTCGTACAGAACTTATTTTAACTCCTGCTTTTAGTTAACATTATGACATATTTAGAAGACGTCCATGAGCTCAATATTTACTAAAAATATAGGGATGCTGGGCCAGGTAGCATTTTGTTTGCTTATTTTGAATTACTTCCTAACTCAGAGCTTCTAGCCATTTGCTAATCCCAGCACTAGGATCATCTTATTCCAAACATAATTAAAGCAAAAGCTGAGGACTGGATAGCAGACTAACTTCCTTACTTATATGTGTGCACTTTAATAATCACAGAAATCCCCCAATAAATTCTATGATGAGCTTTAGTATTCACTTTTCTAAGAAGTCCCAAGTAGAAAAATTATAAGCTCAAATTCTCCCCAAACAAGTACTTCCTTTGTTCTTTGTCAATCGCGTAGTTTGAGCCCTAACTTTCTCCTTTCAGCTGGGCAACACCATCAGGTACAGCTCTCACCGAAACAACACTCTGTGAGAAGAGCTGAGTCTCCTGGGTGGTAAATCCTGTGTCTGAGTTTGAACGGCTGAAAGGACATCACTCCCAATTAGCTGGCTGGTAACAAATGAAATGCATGAAACTCACTGTACCTTTCAGCAATTTCCCAACACATGTTTCTGTCAAATGCAAGACTCCAGTATCAATATAGTGCAGAAGGGTATGCAGAGGGAGACATCGAACACCAAGCCCGAAGTGAAGGGTGTGAAAACCTATGAAATAGATACAAACTTTTTTGGTGCAACAATTTTTTTTTTTCTTTTTTCTAAGTCTGTATTAGAGACTGGCATTACTCTAGCTAAAGCCAACACTGTCCTTAACTTCTGTTTCTAGTGAGTGAGGAAATCAGTTTATCAAATGCCATGTAGTCTTATTTAGGCATCCTTTAAGTCCTCTCAGGTACAATCCTATCAGAAAGAGTAAAGCTAAGGGGACTGAAAACAGTTATTATAGTCATACGCAATCATTAAACATCTCCAAGCTGTTGCCTTGTATCTGAATTGTTCTATTACTTTGTCTTTTATCTCCCTCTTTCCTCCTGATTAATCAAAAACTGAGGCCTCACCACCCTCCGTATGTGGCTGCCACCCACACATTCCCACAGGCAGCATTAAGACTTTAGTTCCTCACTTAACATCAGCCAGATGATGGTCTTGTCATCACGTGACACCATTTGCGCCCACACAGTGTAAGTCTGAGGGACAACCTCATACCAAAAACAGTTTCACAGATTGAAGACAGATGAGGAAATGCAAACTAGAAAGATTCAAACAGAATCTGAAAGCATTAAGAAGTTAAGAAGTCTTTCTGTAACAAAAATTAAGCAAGAGTTTTGAAAAGACTATAAGCCATTATGAGGAGCTCTAAGAAATGAAAGTCTACTATCAAGATCAGCTCATCCATCAAGGCTAGAGGTAATCCTTTCAGGATAAAACTGAAAAATATTAGCAAGGCAACAGCATGAGAAAAAACACGCTTTTTTTTTTTTTCCCTCCAGGATACAATTTTCCCTCATAGCCTGTGACACTAAAGTCCAGTTGTCTAAGCAAAATATATAAGTGAAAGAAGTCTAAATCTTAGTTCTGAGCTAAGACTGTGCCCAAGCACTTCACTGGAAGCTGAAAACAGAGAACTAAACTTCTGGTTTGTTGTCCCTATCTGGAGTAACTATTCAGTTTTGTTTACTTCCCTTGCACGTGTTTATGGAGGGTCTTCCCCTCTGTAACTGTCTTGAACAGATTTCAATACTGCCAAAGCTAACTTGACACATCTGCTGCAACTAGTGCTCTTCTGGGAGGAATTCATAGCATTGCTCTCCTCACTTATGGTTAAAACAGCAAACCACAGGACTTACCAGGAGGTAAAGGCATGCACATGCCATTTGCTGCTTCCAAAATCCGACTCATAATGTGGAACACTGCAAACTCTGCTGTACTTCCTCTCTCATCACTGTATTTAACAAAGTAGCAACATATTAGGAACCTGAGATGCCCACACTCTCCTGAAGATACGGTCGGTTTGTTGTACTACGTGTGCACTAAATGCATGCAATTTGGGTGAATTGCCATGGGATGCTATCTTTTTTACTTAGGTATCTATCACCTAACAGCACCAGCTGTTCAATGTTGACACACAAAGTCTCTGTGGTATCCCCTTTCCCCTTCGCCCATTACTGCATATTTACAAGTCTCTCAGCAGTACCCAGTATCAACAGCAATAAGTGAAATATTTTGAGTGCTGGTATAAGTGACCTGGCTTTTAGAGGTGTTCAACACCCACTATCCAGCTTGAGACCACTGTGAACTCAGCAACTTTGAACTCCAGCCATAAAACTGCCTGTATGATTAATATTCATGTTGGCTTAAAGAGGGCCAGCAGAATCATTAGAGAGTACATGACAGTGATATTGACTTTCACAGTACAGTAAGCACTGACTGCTCAAGCAAATAGTACTGTTGAAGACCAAAATTATTATGCCCATATTTTAAAAGGCAGGCTGACAGCTTTAACAAATGACTTGCTCACAAGCAGAAGATGCAGGAATGAAGCTGGTATCTCCTCCAAACTTCTTTCATTATTCGATGTACCAGATTCAGCTAAAGCGAAAAAGAAAAGACTGAATGTTTCTAGGAGCCTGTGTACAGCAGGCACTTGGCCTTCATTCATTTCACACATCAGTTTATTTTAAAAACTTATCATGAGACTCCTACTAAGACTGCAGTATTTATCTTTTTTTTTCCTAGGGGCTTAAAAACTAAAATTGATTAGAATTTGAATTGTTACTGAATTGCCCCATTCCAGAAGATTAAAGTAAGTACTTTCAGCTCATCAAAGCATTGTGCAAGGCATACACCATCTTAATACATCGTGCTTCTTGGGGATCAACCGATCTCACACTCCTGCATCAAGTTCTCAAAGATCTGTTTGCCATGAAAGCAAAAACTGCATGTCCAAGTGGCTGAGCATTTGGCAAGGAAAGGTCCCTAGGGCCCAGACAAAACTGGATGATGCTGAAGACAGCAGAATACTCAGTCTGCTGAAAAAAAGTCTGCAGGAGGAATCACAAATCTAGTCCTGGCAAGGAGGAAAAATGAGACAAGCAAATGCCTCTCCCTCTGTTGAGTTTCTTTTTTGTCCAAAGTAAAGTACATCAATCCCTTGGCCCATATTGTTGCTTCTTTGCGCTTCCAGACTGACCTCCAGGACAGACTGTCAGCATACAAAAGCCACAAGCCCTGATCCCCCTTGGGCCTTCTAAGCTTCTGCAGCTGAAAGAGAGAAACCATGCACGAAAGAGGTGAAATAACTTCCTTTTGCCAGCACCTCACTTCTGTCACATGTAACCACTTCCATATCTCAGTAACAGAATTCAGACACTTCCTCTACACCTTTTATCTCCGGGCCTCAAAGTGCACTAATCAACCAATCCCAGGAAACATTCCGGAAGCAAGTCTGACTCCTGCTCTGCAGAGAGGTGTCACGAGAAGTTACAAACTCTTCCCCCCCCCCCGAGATGGCCAGAATCCAGGAATCCTTTTTCCCCGCTCTTTTCTCCTCATCGGCTCTGCCCTCTCCAACCTCTAACTTGTCACAGGCTCTGAGCAAGAGAGAAACAGGACACACAGGAGAGGCTCATATGCAAAGGCCAGAAGAGGAATATTGGTCTTCAGTAATGCTCCTGAGTGCTCTCCTCTGTACCTTGGCCAGAAAGCTCTACAAGGTAGCACCTTTTCTCTCCATCACTCCATCCAGCCTTGCACAGCTACCTGATACAGAATAACCACCTAATACTTTCCATCTTCATACTCTCTGGATACAGTGGAAAGCTCCAGAAAGCTCCAGTTTAATCTCTCTGGAATATGGCAAGTTTTCTTCACTCGTTTTCCAGGAAATTAGTGATTTCCAGTTTTCAGAGAAGGGTCACAAGAACCGCACCTGCTGCCGGAATGACTTTCATCTCTGGCCAGCACACAGGGTGCAGCTAAGGCCTCTACATTGGGAGCTACAGCTGGATCTGAAGATCAGTGTTGAGGTGAAGGGAAGGTTCTTAAACTCCGAAATCACCTCTTATTATTTGTGCAAAAATTGTTTTCACAGGTATGATCCTCCAGAATCAATATTCTTTGCTTAACAATACAGCAAACTGTACAGCTTTCACAGGGTATAGAAAGATAACTTCTTAAGTCATAGTCAACCTAGCTATCACAACATACTTAAATCTTAAATACATGCATGCTTGTGATATGACACCCTCACCAACAGCACTACTCACTTTGGAGATCAGCATCTAGCATCTACAATGGACATCGTAGAAAATACATACAGAAAGAGAAGTCATGTCTCAAACTTTTATCAGTATATAACACACAGGGTAACATGCATGAGAGAAAGGAAACCTTATCTGTTTTATCAAGCGAGTACAGGCAGCTGCATCTCCACGGCTAGCAGCGGGTCTCTGGGGGAACCAAGTTAAGAGCTAAAGCCATACCTTCACAGCAAAGTCATTTTTTATTTAGTAACAAAGACATTTAATATTAGGTTTTTCTGGGCAAGCATCAGAAGCCATTTCCCTTGGAGTGCTCTAAACTAATGAGAGAACACATGATCAACAGCGAGACAGTGCATGCAGTACGGCCTAGGCTGACACTTGCAAAGCACCTTGCTGTCTTGAAACATCTATGTTTCCAGGCAATGGTGCTGAGTAGACTGAAGTTCCACTAAAGTAATTTGGAACCACAAGTGCTCAGCTCCTGTAGCTGTTTCTACAGGAAAGACATGGAAGCAGCGAAAGAAAAGAATCGGAAGCAAAGGAAAAAAGGGAGCGAGACAAGGTCTTGCTGTCTTCCAGATCCCCTCCTGTGCAGGGGATACAAGGCAGTCATCCTCCTTCCGAGGAAACTCGGATCCAAATGGTGTCTGTCTGCTTTTCCTCTGCAGTTGAGACCACATCGGATGATAGCTAGCCACAGACATGAGCAAAAAAGGTGCAGGCACTTTCAGAGAAATTTCAGTAGTTTGTTCTGGTCTGCCTCTTTCCTGTGCCACAGGTGGTCTGTTCACTCTGCCTCCCTTTCTGCTTGCTGTCAGGGCAGCAAATGTTATGTTGTCCCTGTAAGCTATTTCCCCCCCTTTCCTGCCCCACTGAAATGAAAAGAGTGAGAGGAAGAGATACGGAGTAAAGCTAAGATAAAGTGATAGCAGGGGGGAGAGTGAATATGGACATACATGCAACTACTGCAGGCTAGGTGGCATGTGGACTGGTAACCAAGCATACTCGGGCTCTGCAGACCTCCTCGGTAAACAAGGGAATTCCCACTGAGACATGTCATTCACACTTGCCCACGTTACTTCTCTGCATACAAGTAGACACAGGTCTCTGACAGCAACCAGCCACTAGTCTGTTGTTTTATGAGAAACTGTGAATGCTCCCATGTCTTGGCTACTTCAACTTCAGCTGCAAGTGATTTATACAGTGGCTACACACCACGGAGCCTTATTCTCAGCCACTCCTTAGCTCCTGAGTATAATAAAAAAGTATTTTATGAAAGCAAACAGACAAGCAAATAATTTTGAGTCTCTTCCTATTTCATTGGTTTCAGTAGCTCAGCTACACGCTGCTAATGTTACAGAAAACTGTTGCAAGAATCAAAACAATTCATTCCCCTGAAGAGCTTCCAAACATTTAGTATATAGAAAGGTTTAAGATGCAGAGTTTCTGATGAGGATTAGGGGAAACCCAAGCCTAATAATGAAATAATTTCTAAATATTTCCAAACAGCACCTAAGATGCAACGGCCAGAGGACAGAAGCAATTTTTAGAGACATATTTTCTTTGTTTACAGCTTTTCTAAGAATGAGAAGTCTGTAAATTGAGTTGAGAGAATTCTTACTTTCAGTGACGTTAAAAAAAAATTAATCCTGAGAGTTTGCTGATGGGGAGGGCTGAGATTTGGTTTGATTGTAAGGTTTAGTCTACAATAGTTTAGTCTTGCAGATCAAGGCTGCATAGGTGTTTTTCATATTTTTTTATCTTAGTTTATATTAAGAATGAACAAATGATAACTAGAAAATGAATGAAAGAAGAATAAACATTCCAATTTGTGCTTTTTTTTCAGCACTGTTTTCAGGTACAAAGCTTTGGTTCATGCTGTACTGTTCCTATTTTAATCAGCCACCAGGTTTTTTTTCTTTCCTATAAAGTTACAGAAAACAGACTGCCGATTACCAGTGAAACACCTTGCCAAGCTACAGAGTGAGGCCTAAACAGAAAAGTCAGTAGCCTCAGTGGAAGCTGCAGCAGTTCAGAGAACATTGTAATGTTGACAGCACAACCAATTTGCACAGGACTTCCGAAAAGATGCAGGCACCAGTAGCCTCAAGAAAGTCTCCTGAGATTTCCATCACTAGAAAACGACACTGTGGGGATTTTCTACTGAACAGTGTGGCAGGGCTAGCACAAAGAAGATGATTTTCTAGTTGCCATGTGAGCTTCTGTGGACTCTGCATTCTGCACTTAAAGGACTTGATGTTGAGACAGACAAAATCAGGTACAATAATATCTATGAACAACAGTCACAGTTTTTACAGCTTATTTTTTAAAGTTTCTCTTAAGAGGATGAAAGGCAGAAAAATAGGAATTTGGAAAAGAAATTTTCACTGTAGTTTATATGGATTTCTTCAGGCAAAACTTTGTCTCCTGCTACACTCACAAAAAGCCCATCGAATTCAGTATGTAGGAGTAGTGATGGTTTACTGTCACGTCATATTGGAGTGAAATCTTTTTTTCTTAATTTGTCTTTCCCCTGATGGTATTTTCATTATTCAAGACATGCAGCAATGTATTCTACAGGAACCAAAATGGATCTAAAGACCAACTTTCAGGATGAATTCACATTTTCATTTCTGGGAGTAGACCACATTTGTACAAGCTGTAAAGGGAACTGTCTTTTCTGAGTGACCAATGCAGCTCTTAAGTATTATTTAAGTGTTATTCTTTCCTTTACCAATATATACAATATTAAGCAACAAAATATGGTTAAACATCTTAAAAACAATCTCCTCCCACCAAATATATGCTACATACACACAGTACATACCCAAGACCCTACCCTCCAACAAATACGTGCTTGCTCACAATAGTGACTATGAAATCAAACTAACCAGGTTTGCAACGTAATCCAGAACTATTTGGTCAATCTTCTTTTTTCCTACATACTGCAGATGTCTCATAAGGTGATCCTTTAGCTGAGCAACCATCTAGGAAAAAAAAAAGTCAACAATTCAGTGTCCTTGGGTATCTTCAAAAAGATGCAAAAGCTCCAGCAGGCGCAGGGCCTGACCAATGGGCATTAGCACAACAAAATGTCTCCCTGTTACAAAACTCCAGTTCAGAGTGAGATCCCAAGCTACCGTACAATCTTGTCAAATTCAACAGCAGATGTGAACATTCAAAATGGCTACTTGGTGCAAATTCAGCAAAATGAGCACTAAGTTGAACTTTCAATGACATTGAAAAGAAAAAGCTTACACTGGGTCAAGCCAAGTGAACAGTGTGAAAGAAAGATTTTAATATGAACACTGAATCCTGAGAATATAAGTATTAATTATATACAAATAAACCTGAGAGATTTTACAGTAGAGAAAACTAGCACAAGTATAGTTTGTGGTAGTAACCAAGAACCTGAGAACCCAAGTGATTAATGGCAACTTCAGGTTAAACATTAATTGTAAAGTCTTTAAAATCAGGTGTTTGTTATCGTACAGTTCATGCCACTCCCTACCCTCTCCTTTCTGAAATACTCTCTGACCTAATGTAGCTTTGGATTGCAACTCAAGTCCATGCTGATTCTTTGCTAAGAATTACTATGAAGTGTTATTTGTTTCCAAGCTCAGAGTAAAACTGAGGCAAATAAAAATCTCTGTCTCAAGGAGTTTATAAGTAGATTAATCTCAGTATGTCAGGACAGTGATATAGGTATTAGGAAAGTATAGAAAAAGGACAGCAGTGACCTGCTTTTTGGATCTGTCTGAATAAACTGCAGGGAAGGAATGTAGAGAGGCTTCAGAGAATGAGAGGCAGAACTCGGAAACAAGGGGACAAGACTGCAAAGAATGAAAATTTGCATTAGATTTGGACAGACAGGACAGTGTTGATAGGCTCTTCGCAGATGCAGTGCTCAGACTTTCCACTGCATGCTGAAGAGTTTTATTTGGTTTTAATAGTAAGAGAACAAGAGACAAACGAAGATGTGTATTTAGACAGAGGACAGGTGGGGATTTGAGATATGATTTATTACCCAGAAGCATAAGGACTGATGATCCTTTAGGGGGATCATCAGTGAAAACAGTGCAAAAGAGGAAGGGACCTCAGAATAGTCATAGCAGTCCCAGAAGTGAGGTAGAAAGAAAAGGAGACAGTAAAAAAAGGTGTTAAACTGAGAAGCAAGAATATCTGTGATCTTCTTTTGAGGAAAGCAGTGGGTGGGGAATTTATTTATACATATTTTAAGGATGTAAAGTAGTCCAAAAGTAACTGACAGATTAAGATGAACTCCAGGAGGATGGAATAACAGTTTCTAGCCAAAGAAAAGTTATATTGGGAGAAAGCATTTTGACAAATCAACTTTCCATTGCTGTTTTTTCCCTATGCCTTATGATATCATGCCCTGTTAAGATGATATCACGATATCATGACTATGAACTCTAAAACTTAGGAAATACAATGTTTGTCCCATAGCCACTCTGAGTGAGCTTCCACTCAGCACTGGAACTTGTAAGCTTACTCTTTACATTTGTTGAGGCTGTGCGTCCTCTAGTGCACACTGTGACAAAAGCACATACCAGTCCCATTAGTAATTGCTGCTGATAATCTTCTTCTTGAAAGAGAGGTACTAGCCTTTCCTCTGAAATAAACAGAGCAAGAATCATTCAAGGACATGACACTAGAAATAGCAGAAGACTTCAACCAGCTTCAAAAGTACTTAGAAACATAAACAAACAAACAGAAGTTGTGGTTTTATCTACTCACCTACAGAACTAAGATGGTGAAGAATCAAGGACTGCATAAGAGACAACTGAGGAACGGAAAATAACCCTGTATCTGTCATCTTCTCCCTCAAGTGCTTAACAGAGGAACACAAGCCTGTCACACCACATTACGCTTCTTTTGCATTACTCTTTTCTTTGATATTTAACTAAGAGTTATCACAGTGTGGTGATACAGTACAGCAGAGGCACGAAGAACCTTCTGGTAACACCAGTGCAAATGCATATGCTATTTAGATCTTGTCATTTACAACCAAACTAAAACAGCAGTGTGGGTTTTCCAAGGAAATGGCTAAACAGAAAGTAAATATTCCACAGAATCACCTCCCACTTTCCTGGTTCTCTCCCATGGTCTGGCTGCTTCTGTTATTCAGATTTGCAGACTGCTATGTAAAAGAACACAAATTTTCTAACTAAATGGAAGGAGGTTATAGTATCTACTGAAATTTAATACCCTGTATTTCCTAATCACTGCTTCCTGTCTACTAACAGCAAAGGAAGAAAAGCAATCTCTTATTTCATTAGGTAGCATAAAACCAAGTCAACATTTTACAGACCCAAGTGCTAAATTTTTACAAAGTTCTTTCCAACCATCTTTGCTCACCTTGAAATATATTTACTCCACCACTTAGCAGCATAAAGACCTTTATTGCTTGATTTTAAAGGACCTGAAGAAAAATCTACAGGGAAGATACACTACATTGATGCTTGTTACCAGCTGGCAGCTGTCTAGAAATTCTCTACTAATAGTTAAACATCTGACTTCTTTATCAGTAAGCACCTTTAGAAAACATGGACCCGAGGCTCACAAAGTTCGTATAAGGTCCCTCAAAGTCAGAGCCTGTAGCAATAACCAGCAGTGGTGTGGATGACTGGTGTTAGGGCTGGAAATGAATGCACCGAAAATTCTTCGTAATAAAAGGAGCAAGCAGCACTTAGACCAGCATCATTTCACAGCACACAGTGGCAGAATACATAGAAGGCACTGATGTGTAAACTGCAGGAACATAATTTACCACTAAATTCAGTTTTACTTATTTGTGACAGAGGAACTGAGCATCACAAAACCTCAAGTGTTCCTGGCCTAGGGAAATTCATTAAGTCTGTCATCTCTACACCATGACTTTTTTCACCAGCCATAATCTCCTACTGTACACAAGTTCTAGAGTTGCAAAGGCAGCTATAAGTGGACAAGACTCAACAGTAACACCATTGATACTCTGCTCCAGGAGAAAAATCCTGAAGAAGAAATCCTTAGGCAGACAAAGGTCTACGGCTTATGTTGTTAAATCCCACATGAAGTAGGAACTTTATTTTCAAAGGTTTCCTAGTCAGTGTATGATCCTACCACCTATCAGAGAGAAAGTTTTCCTGTAATTTAATAACCATTCATCTTAATGCCTCAAACTCTTCAGTGCTGAAAACACACCCAGCAACTTATTTTTAGCCAACAACAGCTAGATGGAAGTATTCTAATAAAGCTTACAGCTAAGGCCTACATCAAGACAAGTTTTACTTACCAGAGTCCCAAGTGTCCAGATGAGAAAGCACCCTGGGTTTTGAAACAAAAAAATCATCTTTTTTCATATGCATTACTCTAAAGAATTTCATAAGAACATTATAAAGCTTAGATGACCCTTTGATCCTCCAAAGACAGCTAAAGAAATCCAAGAACTGTACATGTAACTAAATTTAATGAAGATATTAAATAGCATTAAATAAATCCATCTGACTAGGTTGCATAACAATAACTCTTCATGTCTACCATAAAATACCTAGCTCTACAGGCCTGGATATTTCAGATCATGCTGCAGTGATTACAAGGATTCCAATAATTGATTTTCAGCTGGATAATCTTCTTTAAATTAAGATATCTAGTCAGATACCTAATCAACTATTTAAATGGCATGTTAAATCCTTCAATATACTTCTATAAAATAAGAAAGGGTAATACCTACTTTTTGGCATTTTCAAAAATATTCCTCATATACGCTGTGGTTCTTCTCTCCTCTCTCTGGTTTGTAAACAAACAAAAATCCCCAAATGAACAAAGCAGAAGGCCAATTAAAACACTCCCTGATAAAACGCAGATAAGAAATGAAGCTGGTTTTCCCTTTGAATAGAAATAATGCACAGTGGGGCTTCAACCCAACTACCCATGCGCTTTCCAACTACCCATGCTCATAGGCACTCACACACATCTAACCTACATGACAATACAAGTATGCGCAAGCTCTGCTTTTGTTTAGTTTCTCACATTATTTTAACAGAGTAAGACTTACAGGCAATCACCTTAGAAGTAAAATGACTGCAAGTCTTGGCACTTATCATCAGGTTCCCATTTCTTTATCCTCAAAATAAAAAAAGCAAACTCTTCCGTGTTGGGCTTTAAAACATCCACTTCAGAGGCTGTTTCAGCGCACGCATATTTACCTTTTCTGAAAGGTTACGCCATTCCCTCCTGAGCACATTACTGTGGTAATGCAAGTGTGGTTCTGCATACTTCACACTCTCCAAGTTTGAGTTGAGTTTCTCCCAGAAGCCTTTGGAGTTTTGGAACTGCAAAGTAATGTAGGGAAAGTATGAATACAGAATACAGGCTGCACTCTTAAAGAAATACCTAATCACCCTCCCACTAAGTGATTGGAAAGAACTGGTAAATGTAGCTTCATAACAATCTAAGTGAAAAAATTTAAACAAAAGCAGTTACACTATTTTTTCCCAGTACTTTTATTCCCTTGATCTGACGGCAGGGTAGCACTTAAACTTGAGATCAAGATTTGGTGCCTGTAATGCAGATACTTTGCCACCTTAAGATCCTTTTAAGTCACTGGGAAGAAATGAGTATTTGTAAGTCATAATTCATCTGACCTATTTCACATGTTTGGGATGGGATGGGAAGAACTGCACCACAGACTACAGTGGCCATATTGTCTAGGCTTCCCCTGACTGTAAAAGGAGCCTTAGGCAACTGACTTAGATGTAAATGTTTACATTTGGTCCAAAAAATCCCATTCTGGGTTTCTAGTAGTTCCAAATAGAGGAATACCACCATGATCCTGGCAGCTGCAGGCTGCCACTATTTTCAAGCTGCACTAATACTTACATTGCAAACATCCATTTGCCAACCTCAAGAAACAGTGCCTCATCCCAGAAAAGAAACAAAATCCAAACATTTCCATAGCAATTCTAAAGCCTTTGACTCTAATGCCGAAATTAATTTAAACTCAGCTGTGAACAGACAGGAGGAAAAAAACCCAAACAAACACACACTGGTTTCTTGGACTGGGTATAAAGATTTGAAACTGCTGTTTATAAGGGGGGGTGATGTGATCATTGGTGAGGAAGAGACAAGATTAAGGCAATTCTTTTTGGCAGTTTTAAAAAACAAGATACGGTACTAGCTGTTCTTGCCCCTCTTTATATACATTTATCTCCCAATACAGAAACTACAGTAGTGATATTTGAAGGAAGAAAAGGTTTATTACACATAATTCCTCCATCTTGCATTAATGCAATTAACATGTTGGATTTTGCTCTCTTCCCTACTTTTCTACAAAGACAATAACTTTAGAAGAAAACCTCAGAAGCCTTTAAAACCACTTCCTACTATAAACTACAATTTGCCAAGGAAAATAAATTGCAGAGACTCAATCCTAGCAGCCACTTCCCTTTTGCTGCCAGTGATGAGTGTCACTTTATTGTTGTAGCTGCAGAAGAGAAAAATAAATCTCTTTTTTGCTTCATGTTAGTTATATTTAGCAGCTGGAAACTAGGAGTGCATATGGCACCATATGTTCACCCTGCTGGAGCTAACTAACAAGCTACTACTGCAGTAGGTTCCCTAAATGTTACCAATATGAAATGAGAGAAATATCAAGAATATAGCATAAGGGTATCATCTAGTGACCAATCTATGCAACTACGACAGCACCACCACTGCAAAATTGCATTCAGGCCACACTGGATTTTGTTTGATGTGTGGCAGGGGGGAAGCAAGACAGCAAGTTTCTTTCATATATTGAATCTGTAACAGGAAGTGGTAGACTTCAGAATTAAAAGCAGACACCACTGAAAACCTGCACTGTATTAGACCTCATTAAAAAGTCAAAAGTTTAAAATAAAGTATTATTTAAATGAAATCTGTTATTTCTTGAGGATCATCAAGGCAAGGACTAGAAAGAGAAAGCTTCTTTGTCTTACACAGTGTTTATTTTGCAGACATTTCTGGAGAGTCAGGAATTAATACCTAAGCATGAACATGTAAAAAACATTGTATTACCAGAAGTCAAAGCAAGGCCTTACCAGATTGCAACCTATTAAAAGCTCCCATGAAGCCTTTCCTAAGTACTGTTTTTTTAAATAAAGACAAAGAGAAGTCTCTGCTATACCCCTCTGAAAGGATGCAGGGTAACAATGACCTTTAAGAGGTGTATGTCCTCTCCAGGGGAACCGTAGTGCTATGTCCACCCAGCAGCGAAGGTATTCAGAGAGCTGTGTAACTAACTATGTAGCTGCACAGGCAGCTACTCCTTAAAACATCACTCTTCGCCCCAGTGGCTCAGCACAGCATGAGGGAGAGGCTGCCTTTTCCTGTGCTGATCTCTCTGACAACTGCTTGCAGTACACATTTTCACTCTTCTCTTGCACCTCCTCCTGTTTTCTTCCCTTCTTCCTCCTGCCCCTTCCTTCTCCCTTTCTGATCAAGCCCATTTGCACCCCTTTAAGTTTGGTTTCTGTGTTTAAAAGGAGAAAAAAAAAATAATCAGACTCTTATTAATTGCAGTCCTTATGTAAAGCTTTTTGACAATCGGATCGACTGTTCCCCCTTTCTCACAGACTCTCTCAATACCTCTTGCTGAACAGGAATTTAGTGATAAAAATACACCTGTTACCCAAATAGCACAGATTTTTGTGAATATGGACACAGCCCTCCCAAAGGCTCTTAACAATTCACAGGCTCAGAACTCACAATTCGGAACTCCAAAAAGCTTCTCAAAGCAACAATTCACCATTGTTTCTGTGAAATGCCATAAAGTCTTTGCAAAAGAAATACTACTTGTAGGATCAGATTTGTCACCAGGGTCTGACTTGTAATGCCAACAACACACACCAACTGAAACACCAACAACTGACCACTTGGAACTCAAGCCATGGTGGGTTTGTGTCACTGGAGTGGTACAGAGCAGCCAAAGCACTAAACCTTACCCTGTGTACTACCATCTTTGTCCTCACTCAAGAGTCAGAGCAATTTGCAGTCAAAAGTAGCAGGAAATATTTGTCTTTAGTTCAACTCTGACCTTTTCAATCTGTTTAGGTTTCAGACAGAAATAGGAAATGAGTTCCACAATCAGGAAGTATAGCTGCTAAAGGCATGTGCCCCCAGGGGCTTGAGGTTCAATCTCAGACAAATTAAAGGCCTGCTAACTTTGACCTCAGCGAATTACAGGGATTATCTAGCAACAGATTTTCTCAAGATCTGATTTTCCCAGGTGTCCCAGCTCTCAGGGCAGCCTTCCCAAGCAAAGCATGCAAAGTCCAATTCCCTGACAGCAGTCATGTGAATCTGTAGCAGTACAGCTGTGATGCACTGTTGCAAGGTGAGTAAGCAGTGGGTAATTTCACTGATTTTAAAAGATTTTGTGAACAGTGAAGCTTTATAAGCTAATTATAAGCACTGGGGAGGAAACAGACTCTCGCCTCTTTAAAGTGCTACATGAAACAATATTGTCATGTATCCAGAGTCTACTCCCATGTGCTGCTGGTAGTGTTGCGTTCAAGCTCTGACTCTTCCCATCAGCCCTCCACGACAACCTGCTTATTAAAAGCCTCTCTCAGATTTTGTAGGGGAACACTTAGGAAAATTTCAAGTATTTCTCTAAACTGAAGCCGAGGGAGTGGAATGGAAGATGGGAAGAATCATTCATGTTGTTTTCAACGGAAAGTACAATTTCCTACTCAAACAGCATGTGCTCCCCCCATCCAGCTCACCACCTTTTCCAGTCTGTGCAGGAATTTGTCTAGATTTAGCTAGCCAAAGCCCTGACACCAGTGCAATCACAGGATGCTCTGGAGAAAACAAAGCGAGAGGGTCATGAACCATTGGTAGCAATGGCAGCACAATGAAATATCCCTCAAAGTGGGGATACGTAGAGATATGTAGAAATCCTACATGTCCGCTGTGCCAAGTTAACAGCTAACGAAGTCACAAAATGAAGAGGTATCTATCAAATTTAACAAGAATTAATTCTTGGAGGATCTTCCCTGTTGAATGGAAGAAGTCTCTTCAGGAAGGGAGAAACAAAACAAAAGAAAACATCTTTGAGCTAGCAAACATCAGCCTGAATAACTGATATTTTAGTAAACGCATAAGCCATTTCAAACAGGCCAATTTTCTGTTCACCCCTATTTTGGGATAGGGCTGTGGGGACACTGCTTCAGTAGTATTTAGCACACCCTCATCCCACAAAAAAGCAGCTCCTAATCCGCAAATACAAATGTAGTTTTATATTGGAACTTACCTCTAACACAGGTAGAGAAATAATGTCTGTTGCACATGTTACTCCAGGGATAATCTATAAATACAGACAAATTATAAGAATATAAATAATTTAGCATAAAACATGGGCCTGTTTGGGTATCTAAGTGAATCTCCATTACCCATTTCCTTTGTGAAACTAGCTAGCTAGCTAAAACTATACATTCAGTTTTGCCAACAAGAAATATGGAAGATGTTTCTCTCATTCATCTCATTTAAAAAAAGACAACATATTAGAACAGTGTCAGATCAGAGAAAATAAAATAAGCTATTTGCTCTAACTGTAGAGTCTTGCCTAAAGTTATTTTACTTCTGCAAACTTACTCATAAATCTTACCTCTACTGATACTATTTGTCTTGGAAATAACTGCGTGATTTTGCTGGTTAAATGTATTCTGTATTCATTATAAACCTCATATAATATGCAACAAATTAATACCTCATTATGAAAACTGAGAGATTTAATAATCCATTCCATTATAGTAGCTGTTCTTGTTTTATAAATGCTTTTATTTGTTGACAAAAAAAAAAAAAAATCAACTCATGGAAAACACCACTAAGGTTAAGACTTGACAAAATGCAATGGGCATAAAGCCCAGATATGGATTTATAGTATGTCTACAAAAAGGTAAGGCATACAAGTTAAAGGCTGTATTAAGAGAGAAAATACAGACTCCCTCTAGCTATTAATTAAAGTACCAGCTGTTATCTTACCCCAATCCAGTCAAGCAGTGATGTGTAGGGCAAAAGTTTATCCAGGTTGTGAGTTTCTGGACACATTCTGCAGTACAGGGAGGCTGAATGCAACAGAAAAAGACTTATAAGGGCAAGATTGTATAAAATATTAGCTAACGAGAGCAGGCTTCACAGTGAGTTCCTTGTCTAACACTTTTTTAGGGACAAATCCTGCTGGTATCTCTGAAACAGTTTCCTCCATGGTGGAACTGGTCCCATTCTGTGCACAAAAGGAGGAAGAGAAGTCCAGATGGCTGCAGGGCTGGGTCAGCTGCTTGGCTACAGCTCAGTGCTGCAGGGGTCCTTTGTACAAAGGCTCAGGGCACAGGACATGCACTGGCTAGGCTGAGGAATCAACTGTTAGAAGAGAATATCACGATATGCCAAATCCTTATGAAAAAACGGTTTGGGCTAGGCTAGAGATTGGTTCCTCTACTCCAATCTCAATTATTTACATCCCAGATATCCAAGACAGCAGCCAGATGGAGAATTTGCTCTCCAGTGACCTAAAATAATGATAAATCTATTTGTCCCCCTAGACAGAAGAATGCATTTGAAAAGCTTTACTGCCAATCTGATTTTGAGAGATCTATGTATCCTATAAACTACTGATATTGTATCTAACACCACAAAATGGAGGTCAGCTAACATAAATCATAACCAAAAAGTGTGGAAAGAAGAGAGTCAGTTTGTGACATTGTGGCTTCTCTTTCAGCCACAACTAGGGTATGCAGGAAAATTCAGCATGCAGGAAAAGAAATACCTACCGATGATAAATTCTTGAATGGGGTCAAAAGAATGACATGTTGACAGGTTCTCAGAAATCCACCAAATTATCTGTCACAATGAGAACAGGTGAGTTTGTCACATCTCTCTGCTTAAGCATGTGTTGTAAGAGACTATAGAAACTTTGTTTTCAGTAGTAAGACTTTCCATGAAGTAGTGATACAGAGATAAATGTTTTCAGGACAGCCTTGACCAATAAAGCAATTCAGGCAGCCCAGCTGATGAGGCTCTTGGCACTTCCAAAACATGTGAATCAGGACTTTTCTTCTTTGGCTGGTATCATTCATGCCCTGACGCTGCTCTTTGTATACGACATCAGTCACTGAAAAAACTTAGAGGAGGTTCTTTTCTCACCTGCATTTCCAAGTCTTCTGTGTGTTGGAAGTGTAACAGGGCACAATGTAGAGCTGCCAATCTCTCGCTGTCTTGTTTGCTGTTCTGCAGGAACTGTAGTAAGGCGCTGTCACTGATGCTCACGGCATACATACTTCCTATGCGGCAGTCCAAGACTGTTGACGTGAGTGGGGATTGGACGGAGCAGTTTTGCAACATGTCAATTCTTGCATCCTCACCTGAAGAACATTGGTTTGAGAATAAAAAGGACTAAGAACACAGAATTTGGCTGCTTCCAGTATTTCTCTTAAGACTCCCAGGTCCCCAGCAGTAAGAAACAGTCTGTCTCTTATACTAGCTGCCCTGGTATTACACTGAAGAGGAGGAGGAATGGTGCTGGCTGGGTAAAGGAAGTAAATGAGGATCACAGTCCATACTCAGTTCTCTCCTTCCCTACTGCTGAAGCAGAGAAGGTGTACAGACTTGAGGCTCGCAATTCTGTCACAAGACAAATCAGAGTACATAGGATGGAACAGAGAAGGGCACAAGGCTAGTAATAGAGATGCAACACTAGAATTTGCACCTAAGCGTACTGGTACAGTTCAGAACTGCTCGCAGGCAGAATCATGATACAAACTTGTATTGGTGGATCTCTTACCATCAATCCCAATGGCCAGAACAGGAAGGTTCTGCTCTATAGTTACTGATTGAAGTATCAGATCAAAACCACTTTATTTATGCTAGTACTAAGGTTCACCACCACAGTACTATACAGTAGGATTCCAGATCCTTTGCATCAGAGAAATCAGGCCCACCATGCAACAGTGATGCTTTCCACTCATTTCTAGCAGAACAGTATTTCATTATGCGTATACAATAGGTATTAACTTCCTGTGATGCTGCCCCTGCACCAGTTCCAACTACTTACCTCTCCTTCACCCAATCAGAACAACAGATTTCTGTTTTCAAACAAAGCCCCCCCTTCCAAAAATAACTCACTTCCCATAAAGACATGTTTTTTGGAAACGAAATAACGTGCCTCTCAGATGAGACTCTAAATCAAATTGCATCAGCCTGATCAGGTGAAGGAAACACAGATTTCCTCTCCCCACACCCTCCAAACACACACATTTACAGCAGCTCAATTGGAGGAAGGAAATGTAAAATCAAATTTACATCTCCATGTGAAATTTGAGAACAGTGGAGGACCAAGAAGCATGTGCAAAGATGGGGGAAGGGAAACTATGAAACCAAGGCAAAGAATTTCGAATTCAGTGAAAGGTCTTCTTCCATTTCATAACAAACTAGAAGTACGTAATAGATGAAGTATGAAATGTCACTTCAGATTCTCTTTCTAAAATGAAAAGTGGCAAAAATGCCATTCTTATTTTTTCAATGTCTCTCCTTCTTCTTCAGAACACTGTGCAATAAAGCAATTGTTGAGAAATACAACTTTCATGTCAAGAGATTTGAACAAGTTTCCACTACAACAATAAAATTACTTCAAGCAGCAGTCTTACTATACCTGTCAGAAATAAACTATAGCACAGCAGGTCAGGATGCTCAATATTCAGGAGGTGCAGGAACTGGCCAGGCAAATAAGCAGCCACATAATAGTCTATTTAAAGAAATAACAGTGGTCAATTTAGCACTTGTTCACTTATTTGCTTTAAGAGGCTGCTTCCCATGATTCTCATCTTGGCCCACTTCTCTCTGATGGAATTGATTATATCTAGGAAATATAAAAGGAGTTAATTAAAAGCTGCTGTTACATTAACACAGGAAACACTAGCAATACATTTGCGTTTCCAGGGGAGGATTCAAGAGGCTTGAGACACTCAAGAACTCAGCAGCTGATCTCCAGAGCAGATTCTGAGGCAATTTCAGAGGAAGTTGCTTACTAATACTGAGGTATTGCAGTATCAAATGCCAAATATAAAGTTAAGCAAAAAAAGCAGCAAAATAACACAACTACTTAAAGTCAAGAAAAAAAATCCTTTCCTTCTAGAGAAGGGTTAGCCATTTGTCTCCCTACTGGGGACAGAGAATGGCAGTCACACAGGGAAGTAACACAAGTAACCTACCAAGATTCATAAAAGCCACTTCCTTCAATTGATGAGATTCTGTTCTTTCTAGAGAAACTGTAAAAGTTTTGTTGTAACCTGGGGAAAAATAATAATATTTTTTAAAAACCCAAACAATAAACACCATCTGTTACAAGCCAAGTATGAATTTATAGCTAGAAGCTTCAGCAGGCCAACACACCCAAATAGGGATATTTTAGACTGTTTTATGGGCTTGTCTGCAGAGACAGATTTACTTCATCCTAAACAGAGTTGCTGCATACTTAGTAGACCTGCACCCACACAATGCAGTTCTTTAGTACGTGGAAACTAGCCATGCACTGCACAGCCTATACTCGTGTTTAAAGAAGCATTCCATCCAAGAGCAAGCTTGTGTAAAAATACCTCCCCCCCTCCTCCCGAAAAAAAAAAAACCCAAACACAAATCCTTTATGTAGCTGTGCTTCACATGTTGGTGATCTTTCAACTGCTTTAAAGAATTTCCAGATTGTTTATCCGCATGCCCTACTGCTGTAATTTAGTTCAGCTCTGTTTAAACATAGGCTAATTTCAGACCTGCTGTGTTTGTACGGGCTTTGCATCAGCACAGCTGTTATTTTATTCTAGACTTGCACCACACTACTTCTGGCATCCAGCAAGAATGACATACAGCCTTCAAACTTCCTCAATCTCTGAGAAAAGCTGAAGATTAAAATAACTAAAGGAGACAATGACTGGCCTCTAAATGTCCATGCTGCAATATCCTAAACGCTGAATGGTGTCATGATCAGGATGCTACTTAATACTGCATGAAAATTCAAGATAAGATGATAGACCCACAGTTTACAGGACCACCAAGGAAACAAGTAGATCACGAGCCATACTTCAGCCACTCATCCAGGACTTTGATTCCTGACCCTAGCAGAGAGATATGCTTTATCTATGCTGCAAAAAAAGAAAAGTGAGACCTCGAAGACCAACAGCAACACTACAGATGGAGTATCTAAACCAAATAGTTTTTCACACAAGATACTGACTGAAGTTTGCTTGCAATGAGTCAGTATACTCATGATTACCACCCTATTACTTGCCACTGCGAACACATGCAAGCTAATACCAGCACTGAAGAATACACCTGCAACATTGTGACTTTTGTGTTTATGCTGCATTCAGTAACTGCTTTAAGGGGACAAGAAGCTTCCTTCCAAGTTTACAGATGCTACAGCACAGACTGAACTCCTTACATGTCTCAAAAATGATGCTTATGGACCTGATATACCGCTGCTTCTCTGGGTCACCTCAGAACCAGTCTTAAAATTCTCTTGTATGACTGATGAATCTTACATGAATCCACAAACAGCTCTGCACCAAACAACTCCATTCCATGAAGGTCATTTCAGATGCAGCTGGTCAATGTCACCATATTTATCCTCAGTTTCTTCCTGGTACAGATAGGGATGTACAAGGGCCATGGTTGGCTCCAAGCAATGCAACCACCCTTCAGCTACACATCAAGTACATCTGGGGAAATCAGCCCGTCACAGCAGTTACAATGCAGGGTGCTGCCACACCCAGAATGGACTTTTCCAATTTGTTAATGCCTTCAAGAACACAAAAATGCAGTTCATTCAATCTCACAACATTCCAGCAGCAAAGCAACATGTTAGTGCAGCTCTGACATACAAAGAGTTTCCTGACACAAGAAAGCAAACACTTGAAGTAAAACAGAGGTATGTTGTCCACTTGAACAGTTACTCCAAACTATGCAGCTTCTCAATTGAGAAATAATTCGCCTCTCTCCTCCATCTATCAAATGAGAAAGATCTTGCTAATGACAAGTTTTATTCTGATCAGAATAAAACAACGTTCTTTATTCAAGGAAAAAAAAAGGTCTTAAAATTAAGAGCTAGAGCACCACTTACATAGCAACTATTCTTACAGTCAGCGGGTGTTGCACCTCTTGCTGTGAAAATGACATGTTGAACTGGAATTCTAAACAGACATTCAAGCTAAGAGCTGTTGGCTCTATTTCCCATACAAATGCCTTATGGCACAAGTACAACACACCTGCAAGCTCCCACAGATTTCACTGATGCTTGTGCTCAGCATGCCGGAAAGTCTGGCTAGAAATAAGGGACCAAATTAATAGCCACTCACAAGGCCATTGGTTTGAAGCTACCCATTTAGCATCAGGCAGGAAGTCTACAGCAGGAAAGTCAACTTTGCAGCTGAAGGCAGCTGCTGTCTCTAAACATCAGCCACAGTAGTTCGTCTGCAGACTTTAGTAGTTACTTGTTTTGCAAGGCATTCTATGACTCTTTCAGCAAAGTGACATTCTCCAAAATAAAGCATAACTTAACAGGTTAATCTTACCTTTATGTAAAAAATATATGGAGTACCTTATTTCATCAGGAGTATCAGAGGCTAGACTACAACACACACACAAGCCTCCTAAAAAGACAAAAAAGGAAAAGAAAATTGACTTGTCCACCTGAATACCTAGACATCTTTATGCTGCACAAAATCAAGACTGTCTCAAATTAGAAACTAAAAATAATCTCACAAAAAAGGGAAAGATTACAGAAATATATATTACATATCTCTAACCATCAACTACCTAGCAAAACACAAAATAAGAGAGAACAGAGGAAGCAATATGGCACAATGGAAACCTGGGTTCTGACATGGCCAGTTCTTCTCAAGAAGTACATTTTTAGCCCTTCCCAGTAGAAATCATGCTTGCAGCCAGAAAACTGATCAAGCCTTTCTCTCCACAGACTGCCTCAATCTCTAGATATTTTCTGTTCAGGGACTGTCAAATATGCACAGAACAACATAGTAAAAACACAGTTTGTTTGCTTTCTAAGTAATTTCATATGGGCAGCAGCACAATACACTACTAGGACTTTCTCATACTAGCAATGATAGTCACTTCTCCCCTTTCCAGCCCAAAGAGCTGTTAATTTCTTTTTTAGGAGAAAAGTCACTCCCTGGCACAAGCTTATTTCAGCCAAGGTACTCTGTGCAGGAATGCTCCCCACTCCCAGCCTAATTCTAAATCAGACTGATACTGTTTTGACTCCATTGGATGTTAGCCCTCTCTCCATCTCTTATAAAAACGTTAATCCACTTACTCTGATGCTTTGGCAAGCTACTTTGGCATTCATGTTATAAACAGCTTCCAAACCACATTATCCCAATACAGTTGTGACAGCTAGGCCACAACTATGACCATTCACCTTTTACCTTTACTGAAAGTTTATCACTTAAAAGAAAAAAAAAAAAAGTAATACTAATACAGATACTGTTCTATAAAAAACCAAAGGTTTATGTATACAAGGTATACAGAAAAAGGCACAAAATAAAGGTTTATGTATACAAACTATACAGGAAAAGGCACAGTACGGAAAAAGTGCAAGTACAAAAAAAGCACAGCTACCAAGGTATTTTACTTGGTTAAAATAACTAAGTGCACCAAGTGGTGCAGGGAAAGCTTGTTGTCCTGTTGCACCTATAAGGTAAGTGTTTCATGCAAAGGCAGAACCAGGTCTTCTACACTATCCATTTCAAAATCATTTGCAAACAATAAGAGCTGTAGCTAAATGCCACAAGGTGAGAAGACTCACATGAAGATATATTTGGATGGACTCTTATCTTTTCCGAAATAAAAGGGAAAAAAGATCTCAACCACAACAAAGTAATAAAATAAAAAAAAGGAAGCATTTAAAAATTACGTTCTACTCATACAGGGTAACAGCAAGTTACTAGATTCAGCAGAATTATGGAAAAAAAAATTACAACTCTGTCACTTGATAAATAAACTTCATACCACTGAAATTGTAAGAGTCGCCTATGAAGACATGAAGTTTTACCTAGGAAACATTAACTTCAAATTCCTCATTTCTGTTCATGCAGAAGCATAAGGCACGAGGCTGTACCAACATCTCGACATGGCATCTGAGCATCACAATTCAAACACAACATTGCACTGTGGCATTTTGTCTAGTTGTACTGGCTTAGGAGTGATTTGCCTCACCTAACTTCAGCCATCCAAACATCTCTCATTTAGACTCCTATACAGAAAATTAAGAAATATGGACAGAAGCAATCATCCTCTGGAGACGCCTATTTCTCTCTATAAATATAGTCCAGATGCTTAACTTTTAGGCAGGTAAAGTTAAGTGACAGTAATCCAGGGTTTATGTCATCTTACTGCCTGCGTTTTTTTTTAATACCAAGCAAATTTAACCAAGAAGAACTCCTGAAGTACTAAAAGAAAATGTAACAGCCCAGTGTTGTTTAAATAACCACTGAATTCTTGACATACAAAGTTAATTCTGAGACTAGAACTGCTTGATCTCAGCTAACCTAGAAGTACATAGGGGTTTTTATCTGGAGACATTTTGTCTGTGCTGACTATAAGGAACAGAACTACTTTTCTTCTACCACGGAAGTTTGAGAAAGGAAGAGTGATTTCATTCAGTGTTCAGATTGGCAGTAGCCAATAACAGTTTTATTAAATGGGAAATTGCATGGAATATTCCATTTTGAAGTTATGCCAATTATTCTTTGCCAGAGATGTCCAAATAGTACAAATAGGGATATTACCATTAATATTTGAAGCATGTTAGCAGTTCCACAGAAGGCATAGTCTGTGCCCCAAAGAGCTTGCAGTCCCGTTTTGTAAACCACGACAAACACGAGGCACAAAAGGAAACTAACTTTAGTGCGATTACCCACAGTGTTCGTGGACAACTAGATACAGTCTCAGTGCCAAAATCCTTTGCTCCAAACTGTCAGTTACTCAAAATGGGTTGTGTAAAGTAATCCTCAGTTTCAAACAACATTCAAATATTTCAAACAATGAAAAGCCACATACAATCTCATCTAGTAAGTGTATTTGTCCAATTATGTGTTCTACATTAAGCACAGTGAAAAGCGTGTGTGAAAGGTTCCACACAGAATTTAAATACTGCTGGCCAGAGAGAAAAGAATATTTTACTTCAGGGTAACCAAACAGCTGCCTTGTTGGAGGAAGACTGAATTTCATCCTAAACTAAAAGGAGGTGCTTCAATCTGAACAAACCCTAGACAAGTATAGGTTTAAAAGGAAACATATATATACACAACTCAATAACATTTTCCATTGTTGGACAGGGTGTCTGTATAAGAAGTAGTCTGTCTTGCTAAGAAAGTAGCCTAATCTACTTTTGGTAGATAGAAACTTGGCTTTCTCCTATTTCTCATTCCTTCCCTCTAATCTTTCTAAGTGTGCTGTCTGTATTGGTAAGTAAAAAAATCCGTGTAAGGTAACTGTATTTCACTATTTGCATTAATGGCCATTTCAACACAACTGGCAAATACCTCAGCAATTCGTCCATGTGCATACAGCACACCTTCAGAAGTGAGATGTAAAGTCACTTCTGCAACATGTCATATCCCTGTACAACTCTGTAGACTATTCAGAAGTTAAGCAGATACAATCTCTGCTTGGCTGTATGGTCTAATTTAGAGGCTGAAAATACAGGCATCTCTGATGAACAGATGCCTCTTGAGACCAGTTTTTAATTAAAAAAAAAAAAAAAAAAAAAAAGCTCATGGCATGCATTAGGATGCAGGGAGACTCTTAACTCCTAAAGGTTTAAGGTACATTTTAGGTTTAAGTTTAAGGAATCACAAATATACTAAACCCTTAAGTATCACATGCTAAGTTTAGTATTACATACTTGGACCTTCTAAGTATCACATACTAACTAACAGCAACATGAAGCTCTTAGAATCTCTATTGCACATGCTCCATTTACGCATGGCCACTCTGTAACAGAATTATATACTATGTCAGATACACAAACAGACCTAGCCAAAACCTTCCCTGAATTTACTTTTTAATGCATTTTTCATCACGTTTAACATTAAATTGCTCTAATGTAATACATAACCATGCTTTGGTACCACCTGTGCTCTGAACAGAAAACGCTACAACATTAGACTGAGATATTTCACCATATAAGCGTGTGATACCAGTTCTTTGAAGATGGGCTACCAGAAAATTTCTGGGTGACTGTTTTATTGTTGGTGTTGATATATAAAACCCCAGGTACTCTTCAGCTCATCTTGGAATGCAGCTTTCAGAAGGTAAAAAAACTTAATAAACAAAATAGTGCACAGGTGCCTTCTCCCTCTCCTCACAGTTACATGTCAAGTATACTCTAAAGGAATACAAATCTCAAACATACAAAAAAAACCCATACAAAACCCCCCATATATATATAATGTCTTACAAAGAAAGCTAGTAATCAATTATGATTACACTGCATGGTAATTACTAGCGGAGATCATTTTGACAATACTTGTATTCATTACCTGCTTTACTTGTAAAAACCTGAAGATTCAAAGATTTAGATGCAACATCTTGGTCTTGACAGTGATCATATCCAAAATTCACAAGTCTATGAGCAAATAAAGATCACTAAATAAATCACTTCTTCATCCACAGATTCATCACAACACAGATCACGAGAACAGTCACTATGTAATCAACACATACTAATTAAATTATAATCAAATGTTCTCTAATGCAAGTTAAATTATGCTTTAACCAAACTGCTCAATGCTGTTAGAGATGAGAATCCCAAGTCTGCACACTTATCAGAAACCAACAATTTTGATTACACCTGAAAACTTCATATTCACTTACTGCAGCATTGTCCAACCATTCCTATACTTTGAAGTGAAAGCAAGTTCTGATGAAGTACTGGAAATCCTAACATTCATCATATGTGAGAACTCAAAGCCTTTGCAGCCTAACTCTGCGATTCTTACGTCTGGAAAGCTACATTTTAATCTGCAATTAAGCACACTAATTTCAGCGGAAATGCTTGAAAAGCACAAAAATCACACTCACATGGTACTTGTTATACCATGACATTCTTCTTCAGTCTCGTGCTGCCTGTGTTTTAATGGTTTTACATATCTTTAAAATCTACAAGTCCTACTTTTGCCACACAGAACATGCAACAGAAGATTGTAGTCAGTAAGCTTTGGCTTTTTTGTTGGGATTTCTTTTGTTTGGTTTGGTTTTTTTTCCAGAAGGAATATTGATCCTGGAGGGATTTTCCCCTCGGTCTTCTCCAATAGTTTTGGAAAACAACAACAACAAAAAAATTATACCATTGAAGCTTTTACAAGTGTTGGATTTTTTCAGTACTAAACGCAAGAGGATACACTGCCCCTTTAGGGCAACCTGCATGTGCAGTAGCACCACACTGAACCTTCTGCATAGCACCGAGACATTCTGAGAGCCACAGTTTGAGCAGGGTGGAACTCAACTACCTTCAGTTATTGATATCTGATCTAGTAGCGTTGGCCTCCCTTTTTATTCATAAAGAGAAACAGGCCCTTTTTGAACATAAATTCAACTGACTGAAGCTAGATGAGGATGAGGTGAATTACAACTGAGAGTCAGACCATCCTGACTAGTTTTTCCTCAGTTAAAAGGGAGCCTTAAGGAGACAAGCTCAGATGCAGTCATGTGCACAGGAGACACAGAATCAGACTAATCTTAGCCTTTGAAAGTGCAGGCTGCCTGGAAATAGCATGCTGGAAGAGAAAAAGAGTACAGGCAGTGTCTCATAAGCTATAAAGAGGAGCTACTGGTCTGGTTAACTGCCCAGTAAAACATGTAACAGCAATTAAAAGTGGAGAGCTTCCCTTGACAGGAATTTTGACATCACCACTACAACATGCCCTAGATTAAAACAAATTTTAATTTAAATAGGTACAGAATACTCAGAGGAAGGATTGTTTAACCTATAGCTAGCTCTTCAGACAATTTTTAAGAATGGCACCAAAAAGCAGTCAAGGATTAAATTACATTTTTCAGCTGACCCTGATGAAAATGAGAGGAACTGGAGGTTTGGACACAGTGTTCATATTATTTGTATGTTCCAGTACTATGTAGGCAACTTTAAACAAAGATAATGTGGTTCAGACACAAATTTTACTTAGGTTTGTAAAACATTATGCTATATATTAAAAGAAAAGCAAAACAAAACATAAAACCCCCTTACTTTAATCGTGTGTCATTTACAGAAATATCCAGGTGTGATTCCAGCTGTTAACCAAAAATGAAAACAAACCTGTTATTTAGTGAGGTCAGTATATTATGATTAATATTTCAGCCCAGTAAAACATGTCAAACTCATATTTCACTAGATTCAACATTTTAACAAAGTTTATTTACCGTCCTCTAATCACCCCCCCAAAACATAAAAGAGATTCTTTAAAAAAAGAAAAAAAGAAAATAAATTGTGAGATATTTAACCTCCTGCAGTAGAGCAAATTTCAGCCACTGGGACAAAAGCCTAGTAACAATTACACGTTCAACAGTTGTAGTTTTTATGTTCTCTTCTCCATACTTTCACCACGACAGATTTTCCTGTCTCACTTAAAACTGACACATAGTTATTATGTGGTTTCTTTGTCTAGTGCATTTGATAACCCTGCTTTTCAATACTTGAGTATAAGATCAACATAATGTCATGAATGTCACTTACTTCTAGGTCAATAGCTATGCAATTCCACTGAAGTAACCTTACCGTGGCGCAATCTGAATCTGACTGAATATATTCTTGAAAAGAATACAATGCAAAAAAAAAACCCAACAAAACAAAACAGAAAAAAAAACAAACGGAAAAACAAACCCCAGTTTCCCTCTGCAAAAGTTCCAAGAACAAGACACTAAACAGATCTCTGTATCAGTGCCTAGAACACATAATTACATCCAACTCAAAACCATTGTATAATAAAATACTAATGACTTACTATTGAGTTAAAACTTTCATCAGGATAAAACTGGACACATTTTAAAGTACTCCTTGATTCCTGGAATTAAGAGGATGTATTTTGTAACTGATAAAATAGAAAGCATATCATATAGACTGAAAAGTGACTGGATACTCCACAGCGTTCTACACACTCAACCCACTTTGCTAACAAATATGCAGAACTTAGGGGACAAAGATGACTTTAAAAACCACATATAACCCCCCACAATAGCACTATGACATGCTTCCTTCCTGTGCCAGATCATTATCTGACAAGCATCTATAATTGCGTGGGCCCCCACCTGAAGCACAGCATTACAGGTCTCAAATACACACACATATTCTAGAAAGTTAAAAAAATGTCTTCCATAACTACCTATATAGCAAAAGGAACAGTATCTTATTTTGGTCAGTTCAAAAAGGGTATCTCAAAGAAAAACAGGAATACGTTTCTCCATCACAGTTCACTTCCTGTTGTTTCCTAACACTCATATTTTTGGTGGCTAAGAAGAGTTAAGAAAAATCAATTTTAATTTACATAGAATACATCAAGTGCAAATAGTCTGCCAGTCAAAACAAAAAAACCCAAAGAGTTTCAGCATTTCTAGCCAAGAACCTGCCCTCATTTAGTCACTCAGTAAGTCTGTATACAACATACTTTCTACATGTGAATTTTCTAGATCAGAGGCATTATACTCATGACAGTTTTTGGTAGATTTAGATCCTTTTGAATAAAAGGCCTCTTTAAAGCCAAAAAACCTAACAAACTCACCCTTTTTTATAGAAAGTACTGAGACCACCAGTCTTCTTGCAATTTACTATACATAAATACCAGTTACGGCAAGTCTAGCTTTTGCTTTAGGTTATTTGAGGCAGGAACAAGACAGACTACTATAATGAAAAACAAACTCACACTATTATTACCCCACACACTCAAAAATTTTACTGTCATGAGACAGGCAGGAACAAAACTACTAGAATGACTTTCATCTCACCTTTGGAACAATGTAGAAGAGCCTTTGTTCCACCATATCCCATTGTGCCCAAATGAGATCATCTGCAACTCTGGCTCTTGGAAGCTGACCTGAGTTTTGAATCACCTAAAGGGAAAGAAAGAACATTAGAAGTCATCAAATAAAGTTCTGTAACAATTACGCACAGTCTGTGCTTTAAAGAGAAAAGCAATGACGCAAGAGGCACAAATAGTAAGGTGCTTAGAGGGAATATGCTACTCGTTAGCTCCACAAAGTCCACCTTTGTTGTGTGCAAGGTGCTCATTTTAAAGAGATCAGGAGCACAGTTTTCAGGGTATACCTACTATGAAATATTTTATTTGAGATTTCCTTGCTTGCAAGAAATTCACCAACCACTTAAGCTGCTCAAAGTGAACAAATTAAAACAGACAGCACTCTTCATCACAGAGAAGTGAAAACAAGTGAAATGTCACAGTCAGTTCAGAACCAGCTACATTAACTATTGAAGGAAGACTCGTTAGCTACAGAAGGGATTTCTGTCCAAATTCTCAGCCACGTGATAGAGAGTACTGACACTAGGGAAAGGGTTAGAATTGTGGAAAACTGTTGGGGTTGTATAAATGCACTCTTGAAAGATGTAGGGAGATTCCATGTCAACCAAAACAAATCTGTTTGTTAGAAGGACAGCAGATTGATCTGTTTTTTCTGATTACACTCTTAAGACTTTACTCCACTACTGTAGTCTAGCATATAAAATCCATCTGCTTTAAAAGCAATCACAAACTTTGAGAAAACCATGAAGGACTTCCAAGTGACTGAAAATCAGGACCTTAACTTTTTCCTTACAAGCCTACACTTGTCTCCATAAACCAAAACAGTGGCTTTAGTGACAATTCTTTACTATATTAGATGTAAGTTTATTAATAATAAGTCTTTTAAGCAGAACATCCACAATTTGTTGAAGACAGATTCATGTTAAAAACAGGAAAAGAAGACGAAGGGAAAAAGAGATCGGAAGATTTACAGTACTTGGAGTGTATTTAAGTTTTATGTCTTTTGTTTGTTTGCTTGTTTTTTAAATGAATCCTTTACTGGGACACACAGACTCTCAAAAGGCAAAGTTAGGAAGGTGATACTGCAAAGATTTTAAATGGTTTAGAAATGTATATACACTATGTTTACTCCCAACTTCTAACACCCAGACACATTCAGCAACAAACAAAAACCAATAAAATGAGTAACTTTCCTCACAGATTACATGGTATGCAGGTTTTTCAATCAGCTTTGTGTTTAGCTGCATAAGCTGCCATACTATCAATACTTTCGATATACTTTGTGTTGCCCAAGTATACAACTACAAAAACAGTTAGTTAAAATTACAAATGTTTAAATTTTCAATTAAAGCAAAAAAACCTCAAACCCCAAGATTTTTCAAGTCTTACCACTTTGTGTTCTTCTTCTGCAACATGAATGTCAAATTGTTCAATATCTTCAAAATATGGAAAAAAAAAATCATTACAAACATACATTATATGCTTTTATACAGCTTATTAAACAAATCTCACCTCTTGGAATGCTATAAGAACACATTAGGGCCAGGAAAGTTCAACTCAGTGTAAGAGGAAATCCGTGATACATGAACACAGGTGCCTATGCAGAGGCCTGGACTGTCTTCCTTTACTGACCTGAGGGTGGCTTCAGCCATACCACCCCTCTGGAAACAGTTCTCTGCCCACATCACCACAGCACCGTCAGGGAGAGTGCTAACTGAAACATGCCAAACCAAGCCAAGGAGCACACTTACAAAGAGCACGCAGAGCTGCATGCCCGTGCCTGAGACTACACCCTAGCCCTGTTCCACTTCCTAGCATGAACACCACCTCACGGTCCTTTCCCATGCAAAATTCCTAAAAGTTATTGGTAGTTTGCCTGTGCAAAGAGTGCAAGTTTCACCCAGCAGATGGTATAAATGTTTCTGATACAGTTCACAGCACTATGTGAACATACTAGGATGTGAACTCTGCCCACCCAAGTCCAGCTACCTAAAGGTTGGTGTCTCGCTTAGCAGAGAAGATGGGCCTCTCCAAAGAGATAGGAAAAGCGATCTCACTCTGTAATAAGACTGAATGGTAAAAGGGATAAACAGCCTTTGCAAAGTATCCACCTCTATCCATTCCCTCCCATTATAATAGGTTGAACATGCAAAGTTAGCTGAATTGAAGGAACTATTATCCTATTCTTATCCCACTTGTCATGTGTTAAATCACAATCCATCTCTCATAGTCAATTGACCTGCTCTGAATTAATATAGAATACTATAAAAGTCTATTTCAGCTTTTTTAGAAATAAAGATAACTGATGAATGCATGAACTAGTTATTACATGCAAGTAATTTCAAAGCTGGCCATTCTGCTAACATTTAAAAAAAAAATCCCATTAAATTATACAGTTTTTAAAAGACATTTGGACTACCCAGAATAGCTCATGCCCTTTTTTCCCCGTTTGTTTTTTTTTTCTCCAATAAAAGTCTACCAAAAATATAATCTAAACCGGTCATCTTAAAGCAAAAGAATGACAATGTACTTTCAAAATATTAACTCACATTTATCTTCTGAAACTAGCAAGAGGCGACTCTCTGTAGAATTATTTCTGCCTTCAACTGGATAAAGAAACTATACAGAAAGTTTCACAAAAGAAAGTAAATAAACAAAGTATTTTAGAACACTTATCTAAAATGTGGGTTTTTTTTAAGCTGGACATTTACATATTTTTAAATTAAGAGAGGCACACTAATGATATTTAATTAATAAAAATAGCTATTATTACAGACTAATAGTCACCAATCACTATAATTGCAACCTTTGGAGGATTCAAAAGGAATAAAAAAGTAGCCTTCATGTCAGAGAAATATTCTACATCAAACATTTTACGATGTTTCTAATTTTTTTCATTCAATGAAGAAACACAGGCACACCATCTCTGTAACAGTTGCAAGATAACATGCGATATTTCTGCACTCAACCACTTTTTCTCTCTAGCATAGTGGATTTAAAAAGTTTGTATTTAGATTAGTTGAATAATTTACCTGTACTTGAACACAGCTATCCACAGCCTTTAGGACTCTCACATTGTTAATGGGATGAATTTCAATTAGCAAGGTTAAATACTTGGATACTGCAAAAAGAACATGTTTTAGATAACATTCTTTTTTATACACAATTTTGTTTTCTAAACAGAAATTATGTGGGGGGGGAAAAGCAAAAGGGTACAGTATTTCTAACAGTATTAAAACAATCCACTTGTAGTACCTGACTGTAATAGCCGACTTACTCTTTCTTCTTCTGTATATTGACGGAAGCTGACCGCTAAGGGGGGGGGGGGGGGAAGAAAAGCCAAAACAACCACAGTGAGCATGCATATTTGATATTAATCTTATGAAACATTCTCGAAGAGCAAGCATCACAAATTTTTTTACCAAAAACATCTATGTTAAAGGAACAACAGAAGCTCTTCTAGATGTAGGAGGCATGTATAAATACAGGAGGGGGAAGTGAACAAAGGGTCAGTGTGTCTTAGATTTTTATTTTAACAAAACAGCAATATCGTTACAGCTCTATCTTTATGTTGTTACCTACATTATTTGGTGATGGATCCACCAAAATGCATAGACTGCTGTGGGCAACATATGGATCAAAATAGATTTAAGTAATTCTAGACCCAAATGTATCATCCTCCTAAACTAAATCATCTTTACCATGACACACACAAAAAAAATTAATGAAAAAACACATATTTACCCAATAATGTCCTTTCATTGTTGACCGAACAGCTGATTATTCGTAGATCCCTCTCAAACATATAGAGGTGCTATAGAAAAACACATTAATGCTAATAAATTATTTTTTTTAACCATATAAAGAAAACCATCTGATTACTCCTCCTTAGGAAAACACTGCTGACCAGTACACCGTATTTATTTTTAAAACAAATCATTTCACAGCCAGAACCATATTTCAAGCTTCAATTATATCACTTCTCCTTTTTCTGGTTTGTTTGTTTCTTACTGGTTCTTTTGAGCTCTAAGTTGCCACTAGAGCAACACAGCAGACCTTTATGTAAATACAAAATTTCACCCATTTCATACTGTTATAGGGACACCTGTAAAGGCCCATTATCATGACTCCAGCCACTGAATTGCAGTACATTCAGTTTTAGAATAATTTCTTACAAATGGTAGCACCAAACAGACTGAGGATGCACACATAACAAAGAAAAGCCAAAACAGTTACTTCTTAGCACACACGTTCAGTGTGAAGAAGACTGGAAAGGGCTTGAATTGGTTGTTTAGAAAAAAAGGTTGCAGACACGATGCTTTACTACTCCCATGTCATTGAGATGTTCTGTAATGTTCTGCATCTTAATACTACTGAGCATCATTCGAATACCTTCTCTGGTCTCTCTTTCGTTTCAAACGAGCATACACTCCTTAAGGACATAACTTAAGCGTGTTGCAAGGCATCAAAATCTGAAACATTACAGCACTGTCTTCACCAGGGAGAAGCCTGGCATTGCTCTCACCTCATTTTGTTTAGTTTGAAGATCGTACAATCCAATGTGAGTATTTCTCTCATTTCCCTATGGATGAAAACAAATCAGCACTGGCAATGTAAATACACACAAAGTTAAACATTGTTTTTATTTTTTTCCCACCTCCCTCTCCTCTTCCCCCCCGCCCCTTGACACACATCCTCACACACTTCCCTGTCCTATAAACAGGCAGTTAATTATCTAATTCCAAGAAAGCAAGGCAAGAAAGAGAACAAAGATTTTTTTTTTCTCCTTTTAGAAGTAACACATGGGATAAAGCTGAAATGTGGCCAATTCACAGCCCACAAGCCGTTGCATAAGCCAAGTGCCTCTCTCACTTCGGTTCTAAACTGGTTTTAGTTATAGGCAGTAGGGCCAGGAAGAGAGATGTCTGTACAAGAATGAAAGGGGATGCTATGGCCCTTGGAAGATTTAAGGCTGGTGTTCCAAACCTCACCAACTCGAGAGCACAGAAACATCAAACATCACCAAACACAGCTTCCAGTGATCTGGCTGCAGGCTGGAAAAAGGATTTCAGCTCTGCCTTAGGAAATTATTGTTTGAAGGCTAAATATATTTCACAAGCTCAGATGACACCATTAGCCTGCTGCCTTTGAAAAGAAACATAATACACATCCTTTCTAGCTTACTGGTAATAACATAAAACAATTTTGTTTGGGGCACTTCTAAGACTATTCAAATCAAAACTTATTCTTAGTAATTTTCACCATGCTTTAAATTTTCAAAATAAAAAAAAAATTAAAACAAATTCTGCTTGGCAACATATATTGTATATCAAATCAAGCTGAAGTCCATTAATGTACTCTAGGTATAAGCACTAAATTGCTGAACTGTTGAAATTAAATCCAGCTACATAGGCCTGTACTCAAACAGTGAGCATCATTGTTTTTAACTACAGCTTGGGGGGGAGAGGGGAGCAATCTGTGGTTATTTACAAAGTTATGGCTTCTTGCTTTGTGAAGTTAAAACAAAAGCCTAAGTATTCTCTTCCTAAGGGGTCTATTTCTGAGTGTCTCATTATTGTTGTGCCAATGACAAAAGTCTTTGACTTCTGATTTAAACATGGAAAACAAAATGTCTTTATATTAAGACACAGGCTTCAGGCCTCCTAATTTAAGGTTAAGCAAGTGCTTTCACAAATAACCATCTTTGCAAGTGTGTCTGAAACGCTAACATCCTCTGTGCTTAGCTACTGAAAAAATATACTTTACAAGACTGGTAACAGCACTACAACAGTGCCCACATCTGTGCATAAGCCGAGATGCTTGTTTTCATGTTTACTCTGAAGATTCTTGCATTGCCTTGCAAAATAGAAGCGCGGGCACTAGAATTCACTGTTAAAAATATCTTCTTTACACCAACTATTAATGTCATGAAAGACAGACGCTGTCAAAACTACAGTACAACAGAATACCGTAAAATAAGCTTGAAAATAAAGCTCATTCTCCACCTTCCCCTGATTTCATGCAGAATGCACTTGATTTACTTCCACTTAGCAGACAAAGGTTGTTTTCTATTTGTATCTATTAGGAAACAAGCCAGGGCAGCTCAGTTTAGTTTACATCCTTGTTTGTGCACTATCCTCACTGACAATGTCACAGCTAAATTTTGCTGCTATAAAACCAACAGGAAAGGCTCACAGACATATAACTGCGTCTTGCGAAAGTGGTAGCTCATTAGTCATAAATAGTTTATCATGAAGTGGGGAGAGTGAGAGAAAGAGGTATTAAACTGCCTTAACAACTCAGTAAGATCTGTAGTTTCTTAGAAGCTGTAATTACATCGTGTTTCTCCAACATAAGTTTAAGGAAACAGAAGGACTAACTGCAGACACTAAAAGCAGTCTGTTTTCCCCAGGTAAGCTTTCCTGTGTGACGAAGTATATTAGCAGAACAGAATAGCAAAAAGCAAAGAATACTTATATTTTAGAACAAGTTTGTAAAAATTTAAACTAAGGATCAAATTGGGACCTAAAACTACTTGTCATTCACTAAGATGCATACACCAAGACTCTTTTTTCTTCTATATAAATATAAATGGATACTCCACTTAAAAGGTTTGCGGTGAACTCCAAAGCCGTAGAACTATACCCATTCATTGTCAATGGGCTGTTTGAGGAAAGAAAACATTTGGATTGAATCCTTGTTAAGTCAGTAGTAAAGTATAAAAAGACAGACACACAATACTCCCAACACTAGCTGGTTTTTAGCATTCTACTCTTGAGAGCGGAAAAAAAATTCAGTCCTGGTTTAAGGTATCACAGTCCCAAGGTGTGACTGCAGCTGACAAAGACGTAACTAAATTAACAAAAGCATAGACATCAGGAAAGGCACAGCATTAGCAGCTCAGGACCCAGCCTGTTCAGGACACAGGCTAAGTGCTATGCAGCTACAGCCTGGGACACCACATGTGCTCCTACCAATATACAAGCCACCTAGACCAGCATGAGGTTTGGGGCAGACATACCCACATGTTCTTATCATGCAAGCAGACAAGTGTGGATGTATTGACTCCCATTGACATCAATAGCACCTAAGTGGGTACCAACACTTTTAACTGATGAGCAGAAGTTCTACTGATCCAAGAAAGAAATGTGTACAAACACATTATGAGCAACTTCTCTGTGGGAGAAGCATCATACATTTAATGCAATACCACCTTAAGATACATTTGTTCTTCATGAGAAAACTCCAGGAAGTATCTTCCAGTTTACCCATTAACAAGCGTAAAAAACAGTTATAGTGGAAGTAAACAAAATATGTCAGCATCCTTCCCAACAGAAGAATAAATAGATGCTTGTTCTTCAGCAGGCTGACTCACTCAGGAGAAAAAGATCAGACTGCTTTAACATGGTAAGAGAACAGGAAGAGAAGTAGAAGCATCTTCTTTGGGATGGCATTTGAGAGGTGCAAACTGCAGCACAGCTGCGCAGTTTGTTAGTTCCAGTTCTCAGGCTTTGTCATCCAGCCATTCTTACCACAGGCTGCAGAGGTCACTTTATTCCCCAAATTAGGAAAGAGAAACTACCGTGAACATTTTCAGTGACTTCCTATGCAGCCTTTACCCACAGGTTCAGGAAACTAAGCCTAGGTGTTCAAATCCTCCTGCGAGTCATCAGCCTATTCAGTCAATGAAATCTAGTGGGTTATTTGCCCACCTCCTCCACCCCACATTCCTCCTCCCAAAGTATAGGCTACAAGTTGCCAGTTCTCTAAACTCCGCCAATGGTTTTGCTCAGATCCCTACTGACCAGAGTGGGAGCTTTGATACCTAGCATGCAGGCAAACACCTACATTTAGATGTGTGAACCTTGAGCTACAACCCATCCCTTGTGCCAGTTGCAAGAGCGTGAACAGCATACAAGGCAGTTGGACTCCACTGTCAGAAGCCCAAAAAAGCTTATGGTGACATTCCACAGATGCTAGAAAGCAGGAACATCACACACACACAGTAACAGATGTCCTGTTGGGAACTAGATGGGTTACTTTCATTAAGTCTTTCTAGAGTTTTGAGCAAGGAAAAACTTGACACATTCTTTAGTGTTGTTTTTACTGTTACTTTTGTCTTGTACAGACTCCCCTCCCTATGCTTGTACTAAAGGAAACATCCACCCACAGTTAAAGTGTATTATACCTTGATGAAGACCTCACGTCTTCCCTTAACCCTAGGGAAGCTGGAGAGTTTTAGCACTGTTGAGCTGGAGGGGAACAAAAGGCAGTCCTATTCTACTGGAGTCTGCTATCTCTAATCCGTACTCTTCAAAAACCAAGATCCTCCAGAATCCAGCTGGGTCTACAGATCTGAGATGCACAGAAAAGCAGCACAGTTTGTCTCATCAAGGGGAAACCTTCTCAAACCATATAAAAATCTCTTGGAACTACAGGCATTTCAACCTAAAAGCTATACATATGCCATGGAGTGCAGCATGCTATGTTAAAAAGGGTAGCTCTACATACTTCAAGACATCAAATAAACAACAGTTACTTCAGACTACTTGCAATAAAGTGCTACAGATGAATCTTAAAGTAACAAAGAACAGAGAAAGCAGAATTAGTGTTAGATAAATGGCATCTTAGCATATATATTGGTAGGAGGAAACATATTTAACTAAAGCAGTGCACATGAATTTAAGCCAGACTTCCCTAAGAAATTCTGAGGGTAAAAGAATGTGCTGCTTACGAAGAGTTTATCTGTTAAAGAAATGTCATTTCACTCAGGGTGAGATTCTGGCCCCCCAAAAAATCAAGAGCAAAACCCCTACGGATTTAATCAGGTCAGTACTTTACTCTCCATTTCATCATTCTTAACCTTAGTCTGAAGTGGAGATGGGTATTTTCCCATTGCCCAACCCTGCAAGTTGTCATCAGTCGAGTTTTCATGTTCTAACCCTCACTGCAAAAAATTTTGAACTACAAGGACTCAGTTAGGCAAGATACATATATGGGGTTATTCTCAGCTATATTTTTATTAAGTTGCAAGACAGACATACCTTCCAGGTATAAATAATTTTACTGTTTCTTTCAACATTTACAACGTAGAGTGCTGACGATTTCCCAGAAGTATCTGAAACGATAAGTATCAAAAAGCATAGGATTTTCATCTGAGCTGGTTCATCACACAATTTATGCACACTTTAAGCAAAGATACTAAATACATTTTTACATATAAATATTTCTTTGTACATGCCAAAATTACTCCCTTCTGGAAAGACAGAGAGAATATTTCCTTACACCATGATTTAAATCTGATAAACTTCAACACAAAATACTTAAGGGGTTTCAAAACACGCAGGAAAGAATTATTTATGTAAATTCCTAACTCTTCATTATAATTGTGATTCTAATGGCCACTACCTTTTGTGATGAAATGGAATATGCTTTTTTCACCATCTTCCATTCACAGAAATTAAATTGCATTTATCCATTATACACAACACGGGGTTCCAACAGTTAAGTTGCACTCCAATCCTCAGAACACTACAGGGAGATAGAACCAGCCTGAGGAAAAGCGTCCCTTGCTCCCACCTGCCCCTTCAGCATCCCAAAGGAATGCCTGGAAATAAACTACACCTTCAGAGATTAGCTCTACAACAACACACACACATGCACACACACCCCCACCCCAGAACCACAAGATTAAGCACCATATATATATATGCAACAAACCTACGAGTACAAGGGAATTAAGCAATGCAGGACAAGGGATACGATGTGGGATGTGAATGGAAGAGTAGGGTTAAAAGGGAAACAGAGGAGCAGGAAGCTAGGATGGACAAAGAGAAGAGCACATCTGGACAAAGCAGTGCAAAATAAGAAGGAAAACACCAGAAAAAAAGATAAAATGTCATACTCAAGATGACCAAAATGCATGCTTCCCTGATGCTGCTTTTTTGTTTTCTAATTGCTGCAGCCACCAAAAGTGCATTTATCTCAAATGGAACTTTCATTAAAAGTGGAAAATTTGCCCTTAATAAGGTTAAGACCTGCATGATTGGTACTAGTTTTAAGATAAAGGTAGCCTGTGGTAAGCATCAGCAAAAAGAATTCTCCACAACTCTCGGCAAGCATTTAGTCAAGTTCGACACTATTTACTTTGCAGTTATCACGAAGCATTGGCAGAAGACAGACATGTGAAACTTAAGTTTCACAAGCCTGATACTATAAACTGGCTTGTACAGCTCGCAGTGATATGAAAAAAACCCCTTTTTGTAAGTATTATCAGAAGGAAATAAATTCTGTATTTTATTGTGGGAGGACAATGAAAATCCTTCATGTACATTTAACAACTTATCACTTTCTACTGGTTTCAGATCGCTCAAGGTACACTACAATACCACTACATTAGGGCTAGTTGATGACGACTGAGAAAGTCTCAGATAACCATATATTCCGCTCTTCTTTTAGTGGAAACTTCCCAGAATGTAACCACCACCTCAAACTTTCAAGATGAGTACTATGGTCTCCACACTTCTCTCTCATACAATACTTCCTCAGAACAGAATTTAGCTAGAGAAGGTCCACACAAAATCTCCATGTCAATGAATTTCTCTATCACCCAACTTAAGAGACCTTAAAGATGTTGAAAAGGTTCCTTTTCAGAAGCGAGTTTCATGTCACTGAACACTGTCATTGGGAATATGGAGCCAAATTAGAAGTGGCAATCATCTCCGCCCTTGGAAAGTCCTGCAGGAAAACTGCACATGGAATTACAGCTTCTTCCTCATCCCCACATGATGAAGGGCTGCAAAAGAACCAACCCAACCTGCCTGCCCAGCAAACAACTCACATCAACATACTCTGGAGAATGCAGCGTTTGATTTCCTGAAGGCCGCTATACGCGGCTCATACAAAAATAAGCGGAAAGAAGAGAATGAGGCTGGTTCTTTTCACATGCTGCTCCCCTCTCATCATCATAGCTACTCCCAGCTCTCATGCAATTAGAAATTCTCAAGCTATCAAGGGTTTTCAAGTCCTCAGTAAAGAAAATAATAAATATGAATAACTATAACATCTGAAACCACTGACACAAAAGTACCATGGCTCCTAAAAATTGCTTGCTTTCTGTGAATAGGTATTTCTTTGATGTTTAAATGAGTCTTTTCAAATTCCTGCCTCCCACCTTCACCCTCCTAATACAACAACACTACATCAAGGGGAAAAGTCAGTACACAGACAAAAGTTGAAATGCCATACAGCAATACTGGTATCTGACCAGATGCACCTTCCAACCTAGATTCTTCTGATTCTGTATTACCGGGGGCATTTACTGAATGAAGAGTCTGTAATACATTTTAAAAAGCTGAATACAATTGTCCCTTTCCCAAACACAAGTCAGCACCATTTTGAGATTGTTGTGACATAAATGCATAGGTTGACTGATTGAATTCATCACAGATGAAGTGATAAATTCATAGATTAATTAAGTATGGAGAATTTCAGAATCTTACCTCAAATCCCTTCAGTACACCATTCAACAGTTGTTCAGTAAACTACTTAGTGTATGTGAAATCATTTTTAACAGATTCTGTAACTGATGGCTTGGTAAATAATTCTCTTTTATAAAATAAAAAAAAGCTGATACCTTCTAGTTTACCTCCAAACAAGTTGTTATGAAACTATTTGATAACAGCTTCTCAAGGTGGGAAGCAAGTTGAATATTTGGAGTTAATTAAAAGCAACCAAAGGAGCTGAGGTTTCAAGTTGCATCAGTGACCATCTATTTCTACTGAAGTACTACTTATTATTTCTTTTTAGACTAAGGTTTCCATCAGCTTCTGAAAAGAAGAACTGAGCCAGCTGTCCTGCAGATGAATGAGAACAAACACAAGCAAAAAACCACAGGGCCAAGAATACAGGGTGGTCATTCTTTTTTTCCAACCACTGCACCAAGTGGTCGCTACGCTACCTATAGCACACCGCTGTGACAGCTAACACTTCATCTAATTTTAACTAGCACTCATTTACCACATAGACAAAAGTGTTTGGGTTTTGTTGGGGTTTTTTGTTTGTTTTTTTTTTTTTCCTTCCAGAAAGGGGAGTAGTGTAGAAGCGGGAGTCACGCTAGAAGCCTTTTTGGGGGGGGGGGGGGGGGAAGAAAAACCCGTGTGTCCCCC